TTCATAGTGATGCATCCTAAGGCCCACTTGACTTTACATTCCAGGATGTTTGGTTCTAGTTGAGTGATCACACCATCGTGATTATCTGGGTCGTGAAGATCTTTTTTGTACAGTTCTTCCACGTATTCTTGCCACCTCTCCTTAGTATCTTCTGCTTCTGTTAGGTCCATACCATTTCTGTGCTTTATTGAGCCCATCTTTGCATGAAATGTTCCCCTGGTATCTCTTAATTTTCTGGAAGAGACCTCTAGTCTTTCCCATTCTATTATTTTCCTCTATTTCTTTGCACTGATCACTGAGGAAGGCTTTATCTCTCCTTGCTATTCTGTGGAACTCTGCATTCACATGGGAATATCTTTCCTTTTCTCCTTTGCTTTTCAGTTCTCTTCTTTTCACAGCTATTTGTAAGGCTTCCTCAAATAGCCATTTTGCTTTTTTGCATTTGTCTTTCTTGGGGATGGTCTTGATCCCTGTCTCCTGTACAATGTCACAAGCCTCTGTCCATAGTTCATCAGGCACTCTGTCTATCAGATCTAGTCCCTTAATTCTGTTTCTCACTTCCACTGTATAATCAGAAGGGATTTGATTTAGGTCATACCTGAATGGTCTAGTGGTTTTCCCCACTTTCTTCAATTTAAGTCTGAATTTGGCAATAAGGAGTTCATGATCTGAGCCACAGTCAGCTCCTGGTCTTGTTTTTGCTGACTGTATAGAGCTTCTCCGTCTTTGGCTGCAGAGAATATAATCAATCTGATTTCACTGTTGACCATCTGGTGAGGTCCATGTATGTGGTTTAATTTTGCATGTCTGGTGTAAGTATTACGTAGATTGATTTAGTATTTTTCGGCCATTCAGATGATCTTTATCTTTTTGATAGTGAACAAATTATACCTGTATTTCCAAATTCACCTTACAGTTGTCTTCTTCTTAACACCAGAGTTATTTATAGATAGGTTGTTTAGTGATATCAGTAGTAGTATTACTATTATACTAATCATTTTATTTACATGTTGATTATTTGACCTTAGTCAGTAGAGGGAGAAGATAAGGAGTCCTAAAGGAGTCCCCTGCTCTAGTGAAGAGCAGGCAAAGCTGTGGAAATCTAGGCAGAGAGTGTGGGAGCCCTTCACAGAGAACAGGAAAGTCACAGTCCTCCAGCGTTCTGGGGAAGAGTGAGGTGAGTGCGACAGCAGACAGGTGCGGTGAAAAGGAGAGGAAGGACCCCTAAATTTCAAGTCTGATTCCAGCTGTGCTGCTAAGAACAGCATTTGCAGGCCATGCTTGTTATCCTTATCTTCTCATCTGTAAAATGAGGACAGTTAACTTTTATGTCAGACAATCTGAATTTGGCTTTTAGGAAGGTTTCTAGATCAGGGTAATATAGTAGTTGTTATGTGTCTGCATTTTATAAAGACATTTGACATAGTAATCTTTCAGGTTGTCCTTTGTAGACAAGAAACTGTACATGAGTGGCAGCACTTGGGAGACTTTGTAACTGGAAAATTACCTGGTAAAATGACTCAGGATTCTTTCCTCAGTATAGTCTCATTCACCATTTTTAGCACTGACATGGATAAAGATATTGATGCTTGCTGATTAAATATCCAGCATGTTAGATAACAGAGTCAGAATCAAAGATGATCTCAGCAGGCTTCAACTAAGAGCCAAATGTGGTGAGATGAAAGATTGTGGGTTCCTCTAGTTGGGCCAGCAGGCACTGCACAGGATGGGAGGCAGGGGCTTCCTTCAATCCTGCCTCCATTACCTTCTATGTGACCCCTGGCCCCACATTCAAAAAGTAGAAAAGAGTATTGAGAATCCTTTCTTTATCCCCTAGTCATACCACTGCATTCCCCAAAGGCAGCCAAAATGATTAGGTTTTTAAAGTGAATCCTTCCAGAGAAATTTTATGCCAGGGTAAGCAGATTGTGTGTGCATATATTTTTGTCCCCACTCTCGCATTTTTATACAGATGGGTGTATATGATTCACAACAATTTTGTACCTTGTTTTTTCTTTCATCTTTTGAGATTATGTGGTAGGTTTTTATGTATCAGTGTTTTCTTTTAAGTGGTTACACAGTATTATTTTGTAGGGATGTATCATAGTTTAGTTAACCAGTCCTTTACAAATGGGCATTTTGTCTATTTTTAGTTGTTAACTATTACAGGCAATGCTGTAAGTTTTATCTGTGTAGTCTTAGAAGTGGCAGAAGTCTCCTTAGGTCCTCAGTATTGTCCTCCTTGTCCTCTTGTTTCTTTAATCTTAGGGAAAAAAAAGAATTTTATAGCTGAAAAGGATTTATGTGCCATAAAGTTCAGTGATTCTCGAAGCATGAACCTTGAGCTAGGAGTAGCAGCAGCAGCACTGAGAATTGGATAGAAATGCAGATTCTTGGGGCTCATTCTAGACATTCTGAATGAGAATTTCTCCGGGCGAAGGAGCAGCGGTTTGTGCCAGCATCTGACTTGACATATGAAGAAGCTGTGATCAGAACAGTGAAGTAACTTACCAAACATTATGTAGTTACTTGTGGCTTCTGTTCTGTTTCCCCCATAACTTGTTGTTTTTCTTGTGTAGTTTTGTCTCTTTTAAAAAAAAACATGTTTTGTTTTTAAAAGTTATCAATATAGAAAATAGGTCATTGATTCACTTCCTACTGTTTTCATTTGTGCTTTTCTGTGTCTTGGAACATAGCAAATTCAGATTGAATTCTATTTTGAGGTTTTTATCTCGATTCTTTAGCTTGAGTCGACTTTTAAAAACCAAACCTTAAATTGGCTCCCCTTTATTTTTTACATGGCAAGACTTCTGGTTGTCTCAAGGGTGACCTCGGACTTCTTTTTTCAGGCTCCTTTCCCATCATGTCCTGTCTCTCCTTTTAGAATTTCTAAGCTATATCCTGTTCTTAAGTACATCTATTCCTTGCCTCATATTCCCTCTCTTACTTTTTCTTTTCTCTCTACGCGGAAATCACACGTTCATCTGATTTCATCTGCTTTGAAGCATTTGGACTTCCAAACTGAAAAACCCAGTACACTTTGGCCTTCCCATGGCATTTTGATTTTCTGTTTCTTACTTGACTTCATTTTGCTGATAAGCATTTATGTCGGTCTCCGTTTATACACTCCTTGAGGACAGGTGTATTCATTGTCACTCTGCAGACTCCTTGCACCTTTCTCACTTCCTGGTTGATAGACAGACGTAGGTTGTGTTTGTGTTCATGCACAGCTGGGATGCGGTGGAAGAGCAAGCGTGCTCTGGGCCGTACTCAGAATCTGTAACTCTCACCAGTGGCCTTATAAATATTCGGATGATTGCGTGGGTTAATAGGCATGAGAGGGATATGTCAGCTCCTCCTTCTCTGCTGGATTTTATAAACGAAAACGACCAGTCCACAGTCAGTTGATGTGTATGTTGGTGTCTCACATGCCTGGAATAATGTTGTGCTTGGCGATGCTATGTGTTCAGTGTCATTTCCATAAATGAAGGACAGCACATTGTTGACACTACTGTATACTTGTATACATTTAAGTTACATGCATTGTTTCCTCTTTGTGAACTTGAAACTTAGACATAAGGTGCTAAGATGTTTAAATTTTTATCTTACAATTACTCTGGCGTGCTAAATACCCAGATATCAAGTCTGCTGCTGCTAAGTCACTTCAGTCGTGTCCGACTCTATGTGACACCATAGATGGCAGCCCACCAGGCTCCCCCGTCCCTGGAATTCTTCAGGCAAGAACACTGGAGTGGGTTGCCATTTCCTTCTCCAGCGCATGAAGGTGAAAAGTGAAAGTGAAGTCTTTCAGTCGTGTCCGACTCTTGGCGACCTCATGGACCGCAGCCTACCAGGCTCCTCTGTCCATGATATTTTCCAGGCAAGAGTACTGGAGTGGGGTGCCATTGCCTTCTCCAAATATCAAGTCTAGGTAGGTCCTATTGAGGACCACATTCCAGTAAAACACAAAATTTTCTCAGATCATTGCAATGTACTTGTCAAGGAAGACTGTATTAATATATGCTTCCCTGTAGGAATAGAGTGAAAATGTTGTCATTTTTATTTCACTTTTCCAAAATCATTATAATTTTATACTTAAATAAATTTTAATTTTTTGAGTGGTACTCAAAGTATACTTTATAATATTTTAGAGAACTTTTGGAAAGAAAGAAATCTTGGAAGATGAGTTTTCAAATGCTGGTTGCCTAGAGTATAGTGATTTTGGTTCATCAGGCAAATGTTCCTGTAAGCTGTCCTGAGAAATGGCGATGTTATGGGTGGCTTAGGGCCAAAGTTAACAACTTTGAAAGAATGTGCCACTATAGTAATTTTGAAATTATTTTTCTCCAAGACACATCATTTTTTCAATTTTTAGCAAATTGTGTGGAAAATGGCAAAGTGGAATGCTTTAATAAAATTTTGTGATCAGAGGTAAATTGTGAAAATTAAATATAATCATTTACCAGTCCATTTAGAAACGTATTATCTTAGCAGTTGTATATGGGAAATTTACATATAGCAGTGTTCTTGATTGCTATTTTTAGATCAATAAGTTTAATAACCTTATTGTAATAAGATTCTAAATTTGATCTTATTGTTATGTCATACCAAACACAAGCAAAACTATTTTGTCATTGTTCCTAGTCATTTAAAAGCCAGTTCAGATAGTAATACACAAGAAGGTAGAAAAATGTTATTCTTTTTCTGTCCTTAGGAGCTTATAGTTGAAGACTCTATGCAAAGGAAGCAGAAAGCATTCTGCAGAGTAGTTTTCAGTTTTGCAGTGAAACCTAACTTTCTGTTTATATGGCATCTTTAATTACCATTGTCGTTATTTGTCCACAGCTGACTGAAAGTTTGTGCTTGTTAATATCATCCAGGGCAGTCTGTGGTGGATGCTCGATAAAGTAAAGCTGTGTCCCGTCTGTGTTCCTGTCTCTAGCACCTATTTATTTCCCACAGAAATGTAGAGCTGAATTTCTCATTTGGTCTTTTTCTAGTGAGCATTTGTCCTGTGCATTCACATTCTTTCTTCACGGGGAAAGTAATGTATGCACAAGTGTGGAGATTGCCCAACACCAGCCAATTTATTTGATCAATGAGGAGCATATCCACATGGCTCAGTCTTCACCTGCACCATTTCAAGGTAAGTAAACAATGATGTCCCTCCTCTTCACCTTTCCCTACTCAGTGGATAGCCACTGTGCCCAGTGAAGTTTCATGGAATGAGGTAGTATCTGAAATGGACATGTTGAGCTAAGCAGGAAGGGTTAGTTTCTGAAGAAAGGGAAGACCACAGGTAAGTGATAATAGCTTGCTCATTTTTTTACTGAAAGCTCCCCTCAGCTACAACTTGGTCTTAAGTGTGTTGAAGAATAAAGTGTGGAGGATTTCCTGAAGATCAAAATCTTATAAGTTAAAGGTTTTCCTTGTTTTCTTTGTCCTATGGTTTTAGAACTGTAATGACTAACAGAGTTACTATTAAGCTTTGTACTCTGAAATTTTAACCAAAATCAAATTCCTGGAGTTGTATAGTCTATAGTTTTTTATTAATACCTTATTTTCTTTTAATTTTAGACTGCATTGGTTGTAGATATTTGGTTAACTTACATTCATATTTTCATGAATGCTCAACTAATTACCTAGATATCACCAAAATAACACCATGTTTCTTTTTTTCTAACTATATATTCTAAAGCTTTGGTTTTGTCTTTGGAATTCATAATTTTCTATAAATAACTCTTTTTAAATGTTATAATGTTAAATTGAACCATATAGAAACATCTTTTTTTTTCTTTTCTTTTCTTTTTTTTTTTTTTGAGTTTAATCTTATCAGTTCTAGAGATGCCTGGTTAAAATAGCCTTGGTATATCACAAAATGTAATTTTTAAAAATATTTTTAATAAAATTGACTAAAGTATTTTATTGGTATAATAGCCTATTGATGTAATAGTCAAATGAGTGTTTAGCCTCCATATTATTTATGTTGGTTTTTGGTCTTATACAAATGATTGTAAGTTAATTTGATGAAAGCAGCTTTTTCTTGCCCTAAAGATTGTTAAAGCTTTTTTTTTTTGAAGGTAAAAAAGAACATTGAACCTCATGTAATTGTGTCCTGATTATTGCCTGCGTTTTCCTCCATCTAGCAACACATTTAAAACTGTGTACTTTATTATTCTGTAGTTTTTTGGATGTTTTATGTATGAACTGCTATATTATTCAAAACAGCCCAATTCTTAAACTGTACACTCGAGTTGTACAGTATCCTCATTTTGTGGATTGTCAGGATTATTTAAACACTGTTTCCTTGACTCTGAAAGTGCTGAGGATCATCTGACTTTAGATTTCATGGAGCAAAATAAAAGTGTTTACTTAAAATAACAAAAGGAATTACTAGTCATGAGAAAAGATGTCTAACCTTCTAAGTTGGGAAAGATAATATTGGCCATACTTGGTCCCTGTAGACTACTTAGTTTAAATATTACTGGTTTGTTACTAATATCTCGAATCATGGAAGACTTTGTGGGGCATTATCCTGCTTATTTCCCATGATTGGTGTAGAGAAGGTACATTCTTAGGGCAGGTGTTGGCATATAGACAATTAATAGTGAACATAATTAATCATATTGATGTGGGGATTTCTTAGAAATGTTAAAACAGGAAAATTACCCTTGGTTAGCTGTGTTGCTTAGATCAGTATTTCTCCATTTGTATGCATACAGAATAGCAGAAGGCAACATGAAATATGTGATGTTTTTAACCATCTCTGTCTTGATTGATGTGATATATCATCCAGCAGTTAAGAAAAAACTGTCTCCCAAAAAGGACCACCCAGTTAATGCTTATGCTGAGATTTGTTTTTATAAATCAGGATTAAAAAGTGACTTTTATCCCTAGAAAAGTGTTATTTGAAATGTCGAAATACTCACTGTGAGAATAAGAACTGAGTTATACAGTGTTATGTTAATTGCATTTTTGTGTCTAGCTCAGTGAAAATGACATCAAGGTCAAACAGTGAAAGAGTAAGAGAGAAGGACTTTTTGAGTCCTTTACGTAAAATAAATTTTATTTTAGAGTTGTTTAATCAGCAGACTTCTAAAATGGTTGTAACTGAAATTATACTTAACATTATGTTTCAGATTTGGTACATTAAGACTTTTCTGCCAATAGACATTTTATTTATATATTATTTTTAAATTACCTCAAATATTTAGGAAGTCTCAGGAACTCACAGGGTGAGTGTTCAGGTCCCAGGCTGGTTTCAGGATATATGTATTGAATGGTCTTCTTTCATGGAAGATTCAGGATTCACAGTGTATGAGCTATTACCAAATTGATGTTTATATGCTTTAATGTACAGATAGATAATGTGTAGATAGCTTATATATTGTGTGTTGATGTACTTGTCTGGTGGTGTTAATTATATCTCCTCCCATTTGATTTCCTTCAAAAATTGATTTGAGTTGAGAGGCATGTAAAAAGTACTAAAATGAGAAATTTTAATTACACTTAAAAAGGGGTTAGGAAATAAAGAGCAGTATACATCAAATGATAATATGCCTCACCCTAAAACTACCATGTATGTAGCATTACACTTAAGTAGGAATTATCATTCTGATGTGTAACATATGTTTCTCCTGTCTGCTTTAGTACTGGTAAGTCCTTACGGCTTAAACGGCACGCTAACAGGCCAAGCATACAAAATGTCAGACCCAGCCACCCGTAAGTTGATTGAGGAATGGCAGTATTTCTACCCAATGGTGCTGAAAAAGAAAGAAGAAATGAAAGAAGAGGAAGAGTTGGGATATGATGATGATTTCCCTGTGGCAGTAGAAGTAATTGTTGGTAAGATAAAATGTTTTGCCTGAAGAACTTAATTCTATATTCTTCATCTTGCTTAATTTAAAAAGATAATCAATCAGATTCATCAAAAATAATCTCCATAATTTTCCCATCTTTTTGAATTCTCTTGATACAGTGGTATTTGCTGAGTAGTTATCTTGCCTGAAGCACCAGTGGTCCCTGTATTCCAAATGCTATTATGATAGTGTTGGAACACATGTTTAAATAGCTATTAACTTATGAAAGGATGGAACTTATCACTTTTGGCAGTACCTAATGAGCATCTCATTTTCACCACTGAGCTTTGACTCTGACCACTGGAATAATAAGTTTGGCAGTTCTGACGTGACCTTTTTCTCAGGCCTGTTCTCTCACTTGCTCTCCTCACAGGTGGTGTTCGGATGGTTTATCCTTCAGCTTTTGTGCTGATCTCTCAGAATGACATCCCAGTTCCTCAGAGTGTGGCCAGTACCGGGGGCCATATTACAGTTGGGCAGCAGGGGCTTGGGAGTGTGAAGGACCCGAGTAACTGCGGGATGCCTCTCACCCCGCCCACTTCTCCAGAACAGGCTGTCGTGGGTGAGTACGATCCAGGAACATCCTGGGGGGAAGAGATCCCAGAAAGTCATGTAGCGCCCCTGCCACGGAACAGATGAGAGAACACACGGAGAAATTAATGTGGGATTTTACAAAACAGAGAAGAAAAATTGTAAACAAACAGTTTGTGTGCTTCAGAATTGTAATTGTGTCTGTATTAGTCTTTACTCCAGTTAAACACCTTCGTTATTTCTCTTCAGTTCTACACATGCATCTACCCTTTTACACTGATGTGCATATGTGCACACACATGCCTCAGGAGGCAAGATGTGGTGAAAAATACTAAATCAGAGAATAGTTGACGTGCTTGCCCAATTGGCTGTTGCCAACAGGGACAAGTCTTGAGTGAATTCTCTTTCCTTGTTACAAAGTTAGTCTGACATCCAAGAGCTCTGAATAAATGCTTTGTCCTTTGAATAATCTGTCTACACAAATGACAGATATTAATTAACTTGAAAAATTTGCCCATTTGAACATTCTTCCTTGAGAAAATTCAGAAATTATTTAAATTGGGAAGATGTTTCCTTTGTCAAGTAGTATATATTCTGTATTAACTTTTTTGTTGTTAATAGTTGACTTCATTTTAATTAAAAATATGGTCACTAAGAGAAGGATAGTCATCACACTTGAGCTGAAGTAAGATTATTTATAGGTATTTAATGTGGGCCATATTGGCAGGAACATCAGTAATGAAGTCTTGTCCTCTAAACTTTGAAAACGGACTATCAAGCATGATACATGCTCATCACGTGGTAATTTTCATAAGAAGGAAATAAGGCAGTATTTAAAAATTGCTGCCATAGTGCTTGGCATGTAGTGACATTCAATAAATGTACATGGTTAAATAACATTGGGGAAAAGTATAGACTTTGTGATTGAACACACCTTTTAAACCCTAGCTTTAGTTTTTACTAGGTGAGGGACCTTATTTAATTCTCACACTTGTTTTGACACCAGTTTCCTTCTCTGTTAAATTCTATAGTTTCCAGGACTGTTACGCATGTTAGATCGTGTACCTGACATGCTTGATAAACAGTAAAGCCACATACAAACAGTAGTGCAGGAATTCACAGGAGTGCTCAGAACTCCAGTTTCAACACAGTATTTTTATCAGCTTCCCCGGTGGCGCTAGTGGTAAAGAATCCGCCTGCCAGTGCAGGGGGATGTAAGAGATGTGGGTTCGATCCCTGGGTTGGGAAGATCCCCTGAAGGAGGGCATGGCAACCCACTCCAGAGTTCTTGCCTGGAGAATGCCATAGACAGGGGAGCCTGGCTGGCTAAGTCCACGGGGTCACGACTTAAGTTATCTGGAAGGAATAACTCAGCTATTGTGTGGGGGACATAAAAATGATGTAACCTGTAACTTATAACATGTAACAATGCTGTAACATGTAACCTTTGGGGTTTTGTTTTTTGGGGGATTGTTTTGGCTGGCCTACACGGCTTGCAGAATCTTAGTTCTTCCACCAGGGACTGAACCTGAGCCCCTTGCAATGGAAGCACAGAGTCCTAACCATTGGACTGCCAGGAAATTCCTAGCCTTTGTTTTTAAGAGCCTTGTAGTTGCTAAGATGGTGAAAAAATGTACTACATCCAGCTCTGAATACAGTAGAGCAGAGAATTTGGATGATCCCTTGTGAAAGGATTTGCCATCGGTTGGTTTTTATTAAAACGACTTTCAAACTGAAAAAGCAGAAAAAGCCTTGTATAGTCTTTTTATAATTATAATAATATCTTAGAGAAGATGATAAGTGTAGAATTGTCAGTATTTTGAAAAATGTTAATCATATTTCATATGCAAGTTTGGATTTTTAACAAACTACAGAAGTCAGCAATTTTTGTTTACATTTGTTACTGTTTTGCCTGGTATTTAGTAAAATTTGTGTTCAGCTTAAAATTGAAGGCCTGCTCTGTGCATGATGCCTTGACCTTTGATCAGTTCAGAATTCTTAAATTCATAATTCAGAAAAAAATGCTTTATTCTGGTGGATTTCAGGTGTGTACTTTTACAACTATAGATCTTGTAGATTTCTTCCCCTCTAATTCTGTGTATATCATTGTGCTACACCCTGGGTAAATAAATCTCTTGATGTCTCCTTATTTCCTAAAATAGAAACACTAAATGAGAGTGACTGATGTATTTGTCATAAAATTAATTTGTCCAGCTTTATACATCATAACATCAAATTACAGCTTAGGACTCCTAATGCTCCATTTGCGAGAATCCTGCTTAGCCTCCTTGAGGCTGCACTTGAATGATGTTGAGCATGGCCATGCTTTCCTGGGCATAGGACAGAGGGGGTTACTTTGCCCCTTAAAATGGCCAAACATCTCTTAGATTAGCATGGGACCTGGGAGGGCCAGAGTTCTGGCTTGTGTGAATAGATAGATCAGCTTGCCTCTTCTGTTTATGGAGATAATTTGAGAAGCAGCATTCAATATGCATTTAACAACATCTAATACAAGTCTCATTTAATTCCATATAAGATACCACCCACATTTTAGTTAAATCATTAAAAGCTACTGAAAAACATTAAACCACCTTTAATCAGAAAAGATTCTGTGGCTGGCTTTCCCCACAACCTCTCCTGTTTTGGTCATAAATAATTCCCTTATGATACCATGGACTAATAGTCTGTTTGGCTATACTGGTGAGTGTTTGGGGTCAAAGAGCTATGCTATCTACTTCTGTTTGTTGCTTTACTTTGCCTAGTTTTATAATAGGCATTTGAAAATCCATTGTAAAGTCAAAATGAAATATTTTGTCCTGTGAGCCAAGTCAGAGAAATTTTAAGATTAAAAGATAGCAGTGAAAGATCAAATTTCTTGTCTCTGTTAATTTATCTCATTTGTATTATAACAATACTTTGCTGGGGAACAAGAAAGCTTCAGTTCCTAAGAATGTAAGCATTGGGGTTTGCTTTATTAAAAAAAGAGTGGAGCTGAGATTAACCAGTCAATTCCATACAATGGTTGTTTTGCATTGATACCAAGAAATATTAGTTTGTGATATTAGGTTGCTTCTTTCTTTTTCACAGGAAAGTGAAGGATTTCAGAGCACTTTAAAATTATTTCAGTTGAGATATTTTGCATCATAATTCTATCAGGAATAAAACCCTCAATATGTTTATGAAATCAAATACATAAAAGTAATCGAATCAGAATTTAATACTGAAAATTGACTTCATTATTTGTCTTGTCTGAGATGAAAGTAGTAAAATACTTAGAACCAATAACTAATCTTATCAACAGTTAGAGTAGGCATAATAGAAAATGGCCCTGAAGGAGGAAGTGGCAACCCACTCCAGTATTCTTACCTGGAGAACCCCGTGGACAGAGGAGTCTGGTGGGCTACAGTCCATCGGGTCACAAAGAGTGGGACATGATGGAGTGACTTAGCATGCATGCCACTGAAAATGTATTGCATACCAAGTACAGTTGGAAAATCTAAATGGAAATATTAGAAACCAGTGAATTTCTAATCCTCTGATATAAAATGTTGAGTCAATCTCTTTCATTTCTTTGGTATTAGCTTTCATAGGTGGTGTCAGGCATAAGGATGAACAGTTCCACACACACAGATTTGAAATTTGACCTTGTTAAGGATTTCTTTCTCCTACCCAGGGCGCTGTGTGCAGTTGCTACACAGCCATTTAGCTACATGAGCATAAAGCTCCCTCTACTGTTTTCTTCTGTCTTGAAACTCATTTACTGCATTGAGATTTAAAAACTCAGATAATCCATGCATGTTTATATCTTTAACGTTGTCGTGTTGAATCCTCCTGTGTAAGTTATCTCCAAAACCTCTGAGTAGGAATGCCTCCTGATGGATATGCCATTGTGGGTATGTGATTGTGGGTATTGGTGTGACTGTAAGCTATATTGACACAGATTTACTCATAGCTATGGATAGCGTTATTGTCAGGGGTAGTAGCAAAGCTGCCATGATCAATTCAACAGTCCAGTGTCTATGTTATATAAATCTGGTGGCTCAGATGGTAAAGAATTTGGCTGCAATGCCAGAGACCCAAGTTTGATCCCTGGGTTGGGAAGATCCCCTGAGCAGTCTGTGCACTAGGAGGCCTTTTCAGAAAATTCTGATCTTCCAAATTGTCTTTTCTTTCCTAGGTGAGAGTGGAGGTACGCAGAGTGCTGTCAGTCACCTAGGTTCCCAAGACGGGGGCATGCTAACTATGCACAGTCCAAAGAGATCGGGGAAGATTCCTCCAAAACTCCACAATCATATGGTCCATCGAGTCTGGAAGGAATGCATCCTCAACAGAACCCAGTCCAAGTATGTGTTTTCCATTCTGTCTGGGTGGTGGTTTACCTGATATGCCTTTTTTTGCCACATGAAGAGGATCAATCATATGGCACCGTTGTGTGACCAAACCCTGAGGGGGGTCGTTGAATTGTTAGCTCATCTTTCTGAACATGATAGAGTAAAATTCAAAGCAAAGATGTTAGAATAATTTGATGGCCAGGAAAATTGTGAAGTTCTTTATCATCTCAAGATTGTCATGGTGTTCATCTGACATTTTTTAGCACAGCTGACTCAGAAATTCACCCTGAATATCAGGAGAATAGTTGTGGGTATGGTTTTTCCCTGTGTACCTACTAATGAATGTTTGCTATTTACAAAGGAAAATGACCTTCATTGCCATGTTTTCTATGATACATTGGCCCCCTGTTTTAATTGACAGTGTATTTCTCAACTAAACAGATGAGAGTTAGAGAAGTATTTAGTAGCTGTTATGCTTCTGTTTCTTGATTTGGGGAAATTCTTTTCTTCCTCTACCCAACTTCCCTTTCTTGTCCACCTCCCTCCTGTCTATCCCCTCTGACCTCCTTCCCTCCTTCCTTAACATATTTTTGGAAAAGATTAGGAATTGATTCTAAGACGAGCTATCATTTTAATTGCAGGGATGATAATGTCAAATTGTAGTCAATAAACACTTTTTCACTTATCAAGAATTATGTAAACATATTCAGCATATTTTCACATGTTTTTGATATGACTGAGATGTCCACCTTTTTGACTGATACAAGTGAACAATGAGTCTTGATTCTCTGGAGCAGAACAAATATGGACATTTTTGTCAGTAATTCCAAAGGAATCATTTAGATGTTAAGTCAGTGTTTCTTAAGTGACTACTCTTCAAAACTTTACTTATACACATTTAAGAGCTATCCTTCAGACCTCGGACCTAGCTTTTAACAAATTCATACTATATATTTATATCCCAGTTAGTGGCTCTAGAATGGTAGCTCAGACGGTAAAGAATCTGCCTGCCATGTAGGAGACTGAGGCTCGTTCCTTGAGTTGGGAAGATCCCCCGGAGAAGGGAATGGCAACCCACTCCAGTATTCTTGCCTGGAGGATTCCATGGACAGAGGAGTCTGGCAGGCTGCAGTCCATGGGGTTGCAAAGTCAGACATGACTGAGCAACTAACACATATAGAATAGGCTACTAAAGATTTAGTAGGAAAAAATCTAAAATAATTGCAGTGGGAAATCATGTCATGTTCTAGAATTTAAAAGGTATCTCTGTTTGCTTAAAAACAGTCCTTTCCTTTAGAATTATTGGTACAGGTATTTTCATTTCTGTCTGCAGTGCCTCAACAATTTCTACGTTAACATTTTCTTTTTCTTTCATTTACCATCTTTGATTTTTATCACCACTAACCTTTCCACCAATTCTTAACAGATCAGAGCCCTTCTTTCAGCAGCACTGCACGGGGAAGTGAGACGCCCAGAAAGGCAGGGGAGGGTGGAGAGCAAGCAAAGTCCGGGCAGAGCCATCAGTGAGATGCAGCATCAGCTGTAGTAGGATCCACAGTGCAGGGGGGCTGCCCAGTGTTCCTATTTATGCAGCAATAGATGTCTTTTAGCTGCCAGTTATTACGTAGGAGACATCTTTGATTCTTGTCTTTTGGTTCACATTATATACATGGAGTGCTGTCCTTAAATGCTAGTAAATGTAGATGTTTTAAGAGTGATTTAAACAGTCTGTCTAACAAAGAAATAAAGCAGAACAGAACCAAAAAAATAATCTGTCTGAAAGTATATGATTCATAGATGCTATGAAAAGATAATTTTTAAAAATTTAGGTTCTCTCTTGAGAATTTAGGTGACTTTTTAAAAACTAGCTGCTAATAGTGTTAGATAGTGGTGTTTTCATTGCTGTCTGTACCACCCATGTTAAAATGTATATTGATCTTAAATAAAAATATTTTGAATCTGATTTTCCTTCTGGTGCACGGACATAGTAGTTGACTTCCCCTCTGTGCCCCAACCCTACACCTTGGGTTGCTCTAAACTGTCTTATCGGCAGAATACTGTTACTGTGTAAGATGTATTCATGTCTTTCTAACATCCTTTTCCTTCCCAGAGGTATGAATATTATCTCATGTTTATACAAACCACATATTTTAACCTTTTTTAGGAGGAGCCAAATGTCCACTCCAACTCTTGAAGAAGAGCCTGCTAACAATCCTGCTACTTGGGATTTTGTGGATCCAACCCAAAGAGTCAGCTGTTCTTGCTCTAGGTAGGTAGGGGCTGAGGCAGAGCAGTAATCGGATAGAACTGGACAGAATCATAGTACATTTTGTTGGTTGTCTCCTGGTCTCTCAGACCACTTCTTCCACGTCATTTTGCTTTGTTTTCTTTATAAATCTTCTACTTCCAGTGCTAGAAAAAAGCTTGCTGTTGTTTTGTTTTGTTTTGTGTCTATGTAGAAGATACAGTTTTATTATTGGGACTCAGAATGAGCCTTTTTAGACAACTGACCCTGTTAACAAATTGCTCCCACAGATTTCTTCAGGATAACTTCTTTAGAACTAAAGGCATCAGTTTAACAAGACAATCTCTTGCCATTTAAATGAGTTTATTTAGTTATTCTTAATTATAAAGTTGAGATAAATATCAAGCAAGTTGGCTTGAATTAATAGAATTTGGATAGAATTTGGAATAGAATTTGGATTAGAATTCTATGGAAATAGAATTTCCATAGAAAATTTTTCTTGTTGGTGCTGGTGTTTTTTGATGACTGAGTAGATATGTGGTAATAATATATGAAGAAAGCCAAAATTTTTGCTCATTCATTTAGATACTTGAGTGGAAACCCAAATTATTTTCTGAATATTCACTTAGCAACTTAGAGTGGCTTTGCTTCCGTTTGATACTGCTCAATGCTTATACAAAGGTCAGTTGAGATAAGTATACTTGGAAGTTGGCTATCCATTTCTCTAGTTGAGACCACGGAGTTCTTAATGCGGTATATATGAATTGGTTTCAGGGTAGGGAAGAGGTCACGATGCCCAGAAATCTCTGCAAGCACACACATGCGTGTGCACATGTTTGTTTATACACATAGGCAACAGTTTTAACAGCTTCTTCTTGTCCCCCCCCCCCCCCCCTCCTCTTTCCTATAAGTTGATTCTCTTTTATCAAGCTCTGCCTTGGTAGTCAGCTTTTTGTTGAGAGATGCTGTCTTAAGTACCTAATGAAACCCTTGATTGATTTTTCAAGGAGGATGTTTTCAGTGATATTCTTTGCTCATTTAGGGTCCTTTCTCTGAGCTGGTGAGAATCTCTCTAGTCCCGGGATAGGAGTGGTACACCAGCTGAATGACTGGTCTGCTTTCATCTCTAGGCCATTGTTAATCATGTGATTATGAGGAAAAAAGGTATTTTCCTAATAATATTGACTTCTGAACAGCTTACAGCTAGGTTATGGTCCACCTTTAGAAAGTACATAGGATAAAAATTTTAGTGTGTTTAACTTCACTTGTATGTTCCTCTTATTTTTTCCTGCTTCTTTCCTTAAGCTAGATTTTTTCACTTTTTAAAAATAACCCTTTTACTGATTTCTATCACATTTTTATTCAGTACCTTGAATTATTTTTACCTAAAGTATAAGTAAATAACTCTTTTTCTTTTGTCCTCTGGAGTTACTGTTCTGTCTCCTCACCAGCTTATACCCTTCAGATCTTATTTGTAAATATGCATTCCATTCCATTGACTTCTAAATATTTATCTCTACACCTGACTTCTCACATGTACTCAAGTGTTGTATTTTGCAAAGTGCTTTTAAGATATACCCTTAATATTGACATCAAACCAGGTACCCTGTTGCAGTTATTTCTGTCAGTTTTCTCCTCTTCGGCCTAGAAACTTATCATTTATCTTCCTTAGTTTTCTAGATCAGTTTCACCATTGCATTTTACACTGACTTCCTTTGAAATGTCTGTACAGCCACTCTGCTTTCCTTATTCATTAGTCACCATGTGTTCCTACACTCTGGCCCAGCTTCTGATTCCTTCTCACTAGTGCCACATGGTTGCCTGGTGGGCCTGATGGGCCTGCTGCTGGCTTCAGGGAAGTCCCATACCCATTCATAGATGTGCAGTGGTGGTCTGTTCCGTACTGGTGTATCCCTTATTTTGAAGGTTCCATAACGTAGCTAAGTTGCTAAATGCAATAGAAGAAAATGGCTTTATAAGATTATCCACCTTGCACAAAGTCCTTACTTTGAAAAGGCTACTATAAAATATCTATCTCAAAAGATCAGTGTGGTTAAATGCTCTTGGAGAAAATCCACATCAAAAAGTTTTATGTAAAAGACTTTCAGAGCTTAGGTCTTAAAATAAGCACCCTTAGAAGATATAATTGAGATATTTTCAGGTGAGACATTCATCTCTCAGTGTGGTACTGTGCCCTGGAGATTTAAGGTCCAGTTTTTGCCTTTTTGACAGTAGCTTTAAGCTGCTGACTTCTTCAAAGTCAGGATTTTTTTTTTAAGAGTAGCTAAGACTTTGGCAAGAGTGTTTTCAGATTATCTACTGCAGGATTACCAAACCCATTATGGAATGGTCCACTCCTCACACTATTTAATGGTCTTATGGGGCAGGGTGGCCATCCTGCTGTCCCACTAAACCATCCCATTATGCCACACAAATCCATTTTACTGCCCACTAGGGCATCGTTTAGTGCAATGCAACAGTAATTTAATGCCACCCTAGTGGCCTCAGAGAGTTACTGATACACTGGCAGGAGAGTTTATGTTTTTCCTGGGAATGATTTATATATTGGGAGGAACTGGCTGACCTGCTGTATAACTTTTTTGTGCAGATTAAACCTTAGCATTATCTAGTAGGCCCTTACTGAGCAATTTCTCACACCCATGCCTGCCAAGAAGTGTGTTAGGTTGTGAGCAGACTTGCTATTCCTACTTAGATAGGACAGATGCATTTGTATATATGTGTGTTGTTTTCATATTCACTCACAACCTTTTTACTTCTGTCTCATTTTAGCACATTTCTGTAAGATCCAAAGTTGTGTTTTATCCCTTCTTTGTTGGATAATAGTAGTGTATAAGTCTCTTAGTTATTTATCCTATTAAATATTCTTAAAACTGACCCTTAGTTTCACACTTTGTGGGAGAATTGCATAGTTATCTTGTTCCTGATTTACAGCACTCTAAGCTTTTATAAACCATTCTCTGTTGGAGTTAGTTGGGTGTTGTAAAATAGAGATTGGAAGCTTTTTTTTGCTGCCTTTCTTGACAAATGGTCTTGGTTTTAAAATGCCATACGAATAGATTGTCTGAGGCCCTCACCAAATTTGAAAGATTTGGGGATTTTCAAATTAGTATTTTTGTAGAGGTTAGCAGCATGTTAACGAGTATTTCTTAAGGTTACTCGATGGGCATGAGTTTGAGTAAACTCCAGGAGTTTGTGATGGACAGGGAGGCCTGGTGTGCTGCGATTCATGGGGTTGGAAAGAGTCAGACACGGCTGAGCGACTGGACTGAACTGAACTCTTATCTACTTAACTTGCATGTAATTGGTTCATCATTTCTTATCAGCGTGTGTTGCAGTTTTTAGTCATTATCAATATATTTAACACCTAGAGTCCATTTGGATGTATTAGTGCATATAACACATTCTTGAAAAGGTGTAACCTTGTCAGAGGCATCTCTTCTGTGGTATTAGAATGGTATAGTTATATTCACCTGTGTATTTACTTACCTCATTTTCATTCTCATTTCAGGCATAAACTTTTAAAACGTTGTACAGTAGGCCCCAGTCGACCTCCCACAATATCACAACCAGGGTTCAATGCAGGACCATCATCATCTTCATCTTTACCGCCTCCTGCTTCTTCTAAGCACAAAACAACAGAAAGACAGGACAAGGGAGACAAGCTGCAAAAGAGACCCTTGATACCATTTCATCACAGGCCGTCTGTGGCTGAAGAGTTATGCATGGAGCAAGATCCACCGGGACAGAAGCTAGGCTTGGCAGGGATAGACTCCTCCTTAGAGGTGGCTAGCAGTAGGAAGTATGATAAGCAAATGGCCGTGCCTTCCAGAAATACAAGCAAGCAAATGAATCTGAATCCTATGGATTCACCTCATTCCCCTATTTCCCCTCTGCCGCCAACACTCAGCCCTCAGCCACGAGGTCAGGAAGCAGAGAGTTTGGACCCACCCTCTGTCCCTGTGAATCCAGCCCTCTATGGAAATGGGCTCGAACTCCAACAGTTGTCTGCTCTGGATGACCGGACTGTCCTCGTCGGCCAAAGACTGCCTCTCACGGCAGAGGTCAGTGAGACCGCCTTATATTGTGGGATTAGGCCCTCGAACCCAGAGTCATCAGATAAGTGGTGGCACAGTTACCATCTCCCATCCATTGATGATGCTGAGTTCCGGCCTCCAGAGCTCCAGGGTGAGAGATGCGATGCCAAAACGGAGGTAACCTCAGAGAGCACTGCATTGCAAAGGTAAGGCCATAGGTTCCCAGGAATCAGGGCCTTCAGATCCAAAATTGAAGAGGTCCTTCTTCACCATTCTAGACTCTGCATTTGGAAAAGGTTTAAAAGTTAAATGCTTTATCCAACATATTTATCATATGTGTCATTATTTAAATACTGGCCTATAAAGGTTTCGTTGTAAGATTAGCTTACTAGAATTAATTAATTTTTGGTCTGCTGTTTGTTAATCAAAGAATATAGCTTTATGGGACTTTCCATATTGCAGTCAGTGCCTTCTTTGTATGTTGACACTTTTAAGGAAGGCTTTACATGCGTTCAGGTGTGTATCATGCATCTAGTAGTAATACTTCAGAGTGTTATTTAGCAACCTGTTACTCTAAACAGTTTATACAGTTTTTCTCATGTCATCTTCACCACAGCCATATTGCTACCTTTAATTTCATAGCTGAGAAAGAACCTAGGGTCATGCAGTTAGTAAATGACATGGATGGAATTTGTGCCCAGACATTCTGTCCCCAGAGCCCATCTCTGCTGTTAAGTGAAATCAGTGGAATCAGAAACAAAAGTATATGGCCTTAACAAAGGCTACTAAGATTTATTTAATTGTGAATATAGTCTCTGAAAGTCACTTGAAGGTGAATTTTTTAGTTTTATTTGTTGTTAAAGTTTAAGCTTCCAAATGCTTTTAAATCACAAATGTTGCTTAAAAAAAAAAAAAAGTCTGGTCTTTTTTTACTATTTCTTGCTTAAATCATCATTTCCCCTTCCAGACTCTTAGCACAACCCAACAAACGGTTTAAAGTCTGGCAAGACAAGCAGCCGCAGATGCAGCCCCTCCACTTTCTTGACCCATTGCCTCTGTCACAACAACCTGGAGACAGTTTGGGAGAAGTCAACGACCCATATACTTTCGAGGACGGCGACATAAAATACATCTTTACTGCAAACAAGAAATGCAAACAAGGGACAGAGAAAGATTCCCTGAAAAAGAATAAGGTACCACTTAACAGAGAGAGAGGCCAGCCAGGAGTGGGTTTCAGTCTATGTCAGTACAACACATGTGGGAAGACTCTGAGGCAGAATGTTTGAGATAGTCTTGCCTGATTGCTCTGTCCCCATATTCATGCTCTTGGTACTAGTGTATCGAACAGCGTGTTGTTCCTCTTTATGTCATGGCTCACCTTTGTTCAGAAGTCGGCCGAACATAAATGAAGCCTCATAGCTCCCAGGCTATAGCTTGTACCGTGCATGTTTCCTCTCATATGCTAATTCTTGTTGGCCTATGCTCCCTGCTTCTTTCTTTTTAATTACTATTCCAAAATACCCAAAATGTAAGGGAAAATATTGGTAACAGTATCTACCATTTATCAGGCGCTCACTGTTTACTGTGTTACGCGCTTTACCTCTGTATTTCTCCGAATTAATATCATCACTACTCCAAGACTGTGTCAGTATAATTTTACTGGTTTCATTATCTTAAAAATGAGTACTGGGGGTGTCTGCTGTCTTTAGCCTTATATTTTAAACCATTCTAAAATACTGGGCCATTTAAAGAAATATTCTTAAGAACAGAGGAAATAAGAGAATGAAAGGAGACCAATATAGTTCAAGAGAATACTTCTTACGCCTGTCTAGATCCAGAAAGCTTGAAGCATAATTCAGCCTCCAAAATATGTTAAGGCAGCTTTTAAAACCATGGCAGGTCTGTGATCAAACCCCACCAGTACTGTTGAGGCATAAAATCCCGATTGACTCAGATTGAGGGGCAAGTGTGGGAGTTTTTGGTTTCAGTTTAAAATCAGGGATGAGGACATATCTTTTATTTCCTTTGGTTGCATAGACCATGGTTTATCATACTTGTGCTCATAACAAGTTCCATTCTGCCCTCTAATTCTTTGTGTTCTCCCTCATATTCCACACTTTGGGTTGCTGTTCATGTGTTTTGTTTGGCTGAATTTATTACACAGTCAGAGGATGGATTTGGTACCAAGGATGTCACTACACCAGGTCATTCCACGCCGGTGCCTGAAGGGAAAAATGCCATGTCCCTTTTCAGTTCTACTAAAACAGGTGTGTACACTGATTATTTGCCTCACTTGGACTGTTGCTAAAGTAAATGCTAGGGAGATGCTTCTCTATTTAACATTATGTGCTGATTGTATTAGCAATAATTTGACCTCATCTGTAATATAATTTTCATAGTTTGTTTTTCAGTTCCTTTCAAAACTGATAAGCGTATTTGGCACTAATTGTATCTCGATTTAACTGACAGCGTAAGGAAGCATTTGGCAGGCAGGGCTTGCTCACTGTCCTCTCCTCACCCCTTCTCCTTTGAGGAAGCTGCTTATTCAGTGCCTTTTGCTTCCTTCCCACAGATGTCCGGCAGGACAACGCTGCTGGCAGGGCAGGCTCCAGTAGCCTCACACAGGTGACAGACTTGGCACCTTCCCTTCATGACTTAGACAACATCTTTGATAATTCTGATGACGACGAACTTGGGGTGAGTCTGCAGTAGCTACACAAAACAAAAATGCACTTCAGTGGATGGACTTAGTCTTTCAGTATTTCTTTATAGTTTGGTCTACTGAATTGGGAGTTCATATTTCAGGTTCTAAATGTTCTTCAAAAATGTTTGTGTACCTTGAAAGGATTCTGAAACTTATTAGTATAGTCTCTGATAACCCTTGGGTTTTGTTTGTTGACGGCTTTTTTCCATTAGTGTTATTCCTGTTGTAAATATTAAAGTCTTTCAGTTTTTTTTAACTCCTCAATATGAGACTAACAGGAATATATTATGTAGTCCCTTTAGCTTAGATTTTAAAAATAATGCCCTACATGTAGTGGGGCATACTGAATTTTTTGAACTTTACCATACTGAACTTTATGTCACAGGATAGTCAGCATTTTGAGAGATAATTACAAATATGATTTATACTTTCTAGGATTATGGCATCATAGTCAGGAAATAGAATTTATACACGCAGACATTAAATAATACAAGGTGTCATGTGATTGGGATTCCCTGGCAGCTCAGCTGGTAAAGAATCTATCTGTGTTGCGGGAGACCCTGGTTTGATTCCTGGCTCAGGAAGATCCCCTGGAGAAGGGATAGGATACCCACTCTAGTATTCTTGGGCTTTCCTGGGAGCTCAGATGGTAAAAGAATCCGCCTGCAGTGCAAGAGACCTGGGTTCGATCCCTGGGTTGGGAAGATCCTCTGGAGGAGGGCATGGCAACCCACTCCAGTATTCTTGCCTGCAAAATGCCCATTGGACAGAGGAGCCTGGTGGGCTACAATCCATGGGGTTGCAAGGAGTCAGACATGACTGAGCGACTGAGCATAGCACAGCACATCATATGATTAAAGTGACAGATTAGCATTTATAATTCTCTGGAGAATAGCTGAGCTGAGTCAGGAAATGTGTGTTGTCATCATCCTAACTAAGCCTGTACCTTTGTGTAAACAGAAGTGCCCCTGTTACCTCTGGGGGCACCTAGAGATGAGTAAGATAGGCTTGCTCTTCAGTGAAGTCAAAGTATTAGTTCACTTTTCTTTCATTTATATATTTACTTTCCCATCCATCCAGTTGACATGATATTTGTTAATTATTTAATGATCAGTTCCTTTGTGGCTGGTTCTCTAGGTTTATAGATAAAATTAAATTACCAGTCTTATGCTTGAGGTGCTCACAGACTTTAGGAGAAATAGCATATAAATAAAGTTTAAAATATACTTAGCCGTGTGAGTGCAATAATTTATCTGAATCTAAAGATGCTACCCGTTCAAGTACAAAGCAATAGGCAAGCAATATTTTAGTAAAGACTTGAAGGTTAAATAGGAATCAGGTTTCTAAGGCCATTCTCACTTTAAAATAAAATATATCTGGTTAACAGACACTGTACACCAGTAGTATTCTAAGTACTTCTTTCTGCCTCCATGGACTGTAACCCGTGAGGCTCCTCTGTCCATGGGATTCTCCATGCAAGAATACTGGAGTGGGTTGCCACCCCCTCCTCCAGAGGATCTTTGTGACCAGGGATTGAACCCTCATCTTGATCCTGCATTGGCAGGCTGGATCTTTACCATTAGTGCCACCTGGGAAACCCAAATACTTAGAAGATGGGATAATCATGATCTCAAAGAATGAAATTGACTTGAAATGTGGAAAGATTTTGTTAGTGAGAGGCAGGGGAGGGATGTGTCTTTGAGCCTGGAAGGAGTCTTGGTTCAGCAAAGAGAATGAACTAGCTGGGGCCTTGTGAGATAGTGAGCACATTGATCTGTTTCCTGAGTGGTGGGGGGGTGGGGGTGGTGGTAAAGATTGCTGGGGCTGGGGAGGTGCTTGGCCACACTTCAGGCTTTGGAACTCAAACTTTACTGGTAATGGGCTCTTCTGAAGGCTGCCGAGTGGGCAGCTGACCTGGTAGAAGTGGGTACTGTTTTACATCAGTCTGATACATGGAAAACAAGAGTACTGTTTGGTAACTTGTTGGATTGAAAAACAAGGACCTAAATTCAGGCAGTGGCTGCATTAAGAAAAGGACGTGGCAATGTGAAAAACACTGTCAGAAGAAATGACATGTCCTTATTCTTTGACCCAGGCATTGGAGATCCATTTTGTACCTGATTGTGTCTGTAAAGCCATGTATTATCTAGGATTGGTTTTAGTGAGGGTTAGTTCAGATTCTTTGGTTTGGTGGTAGTGAGAAGAAAGTGTGAGAAGTAAAGGAATTAAAAAGAAGTGGAAAGAGAGATGTAAGAAAAGAAAAAAACAAGCATTGTAGAGTCGCCCAGTTTCTGTTAATAGCCAACATCCCTAGTGATTTTTGTCTCTGCTCTGAACCATCATCCTTACTCTCTGTATAAATTATGAATTACTGACTAAATGAAGAGATGTTTACTCTGGTTTTTTTTTTTAATATAAGTAATGTTAATATGCAAAGGGGAATTGGACAGTTTTTAATCTAATTTTCATTTCTCTGGAACGGTTGTTTCTACTCTGACTTCTGGCCTGGCATTTAAACAAAGGAACAGGTTACCTTAGAATCATTTTGCTAATTCATCTATTAGTAACTGGAATCTGGAGACTGTTGTCCGGGTTTTCACCTCACGGAGTTTAGTTTCACGTTTCAGCTCTATGACAGCGAATGTGTGCCTCATGGCTCAGTCATGCCAGCTCTTTGAGACCCCGTGGACTGTAGCCTTCCAGGCTCCTCTGTCCATGGGGATTCTCCACTGAGTAAGTGAACATAAATAAAAGGCCTCTATTTGTGAGATTTTTTTTTTTTTTTTGCTTTATCTTGCATTCAGTTCATTTGCATTCTTAAAGATAATGTTGCCTATTAAGGGACTTAATTTGGGAGGTGACTGTGGCTCAAATCATGAACTCCTTATTGCTAAATTCATACTTAAATTGAAGAAAGTGGGGAAAACCACTAGACCATTCAGGTATGACCTAAGTCAAATCCCTTACAGTTACACAGTGAAAGTGAGAAATAGATTTAAGGGACTAGATCTGAGACAGAGTGCCTGATGAACTATGGACAGAGGTTCGTGACATTGTACAGGAGACAGGGATCAAGATCATCCCCAAGAAAAAGAAATGGAAAAAAGCAAAATGGTTGTCTGAGGAGGTCTTACAAATAGCTGTGAAAAGAAGAGAAGCAAAAAGCAAAGGAGAAAAGGAAAGATATACCCATTTGAATGCGGAGTTGCAAAGAATAGCAAGGAGAGATAAGAAAGCCTTCCTCAGTGATCAGTGCAAAGAAATAGAGGAAAATAATAGAATGGGAAAGACTAGAGATCTCTTCAAGAAAATTAGAGATACCAGGGGAACATTTCATGCAAAAATGGGCTCAATAAAGCACAGAAATGGTATGGACCTAACAGGAGCAGAAGATATTAAGGAGAGGTGGCAAGAATACGTGGAAGAAGTGTACAAAAAAGATCTTCACGACCCAGATAGTCACGATGGTGTGATCACTCAACTCGAGCCAGACATCCTGGAATGTAAAGTCAAGTGGCCTTAGGAAACATCACTACGAACAAAGCTAGTGGAGGTGATGGAATTCCAGTTGAGCTATTTCAAATCTTAAAGGATGATGCTGTGAAAGTGCTGCACTCAATATGGCAGCAAATTTGGAAAACTCAGCAGTGGCCGCAGGACTAGAAAAGGTCAGTTTTCATTCCAGTTCCAAAGAAAGGCAATGCCAAAGAATGCTCAAACTACTGCACAATTGCACTCATCTCACATGCTAGTAAAGTAATGCTTAAAATTCTCCAAGCCAGGCTTCAGCAGTTCATGAACCGTGAACTTCCAGATGTTCACGCTGGTTTTAGAAAAGGCAGAGGAACCAGAGATCAAACTGCCAGCATCCGCTGGATCATCGAAAAAGCAAAAGAGTTCCAGAAAAATATCTATTTCTGCTTTATTGACTATGCCAAAGCCTTTCACTATGTGGATCACAATAAACTGTGGAAAATTCTTCAAGAGATGGGAATACCTGACCACCTCACCTGCCTCTTGAGAAATCTGTATGCAGGTCAGGAAGCAACAGTTAGAACTGGACATGGAGCAAGATTTCCAGGAGAAATATCAATAACCTCAGATATGCAGATGACACCACCCTTACAGCAGAAAGTGAAGAACTACTAAAGAGCCTCTTGATGAAAGTGAAAGAGGAGAGTTGAAAAGTTGGCTTAAAGATCAACATTCAGAAAACTAAGACCCATGGCATCCGGTCCCATCACTTCATGGCACATAGATGGGGAAACAGTGGAAACAGTGGCAGACTTTATTTTTGGGGCTCCAAAATCACTGTAGATGGTGACTGCAGCCATGAAATTAAAAGATGCTTCCTCCTTGGAAGGAACGTTATGAGCAAAAGTTATAACCAAAAGTTATGACCGAAAATTAGATAGCATATTAAAAAGCAGAGACATTATTTTGCCAACAAAGGTCCATCTAGCCAAGGCTATGGTTTTTCCAGTAGTCATGTATGGATGTCAGAGTTGGACTGTAAAGAAAGCTGAATGCCGAAGAACTGATGCATTTGAACTGTGGTATTGGAGAAGACTTCTGAAAGTCCCTTGGACTGCAGAAAGATCCAACCAGTCCATCCTAAAGGAAATCAATCCTGAGTGTTCATTGGAAGGACTGATATTGAAGCTGAAATTTCAATAGTTTGGCCACGTGATGTGAAGAACTGACTCATTTGAAAAGACCCTGATGCTGGGAAAGATTGAGGGCAGGAGGAGAAGGGAACGACAGAGGATAAGATGGTTGGATGGCATCAGCGACTTAATGGACATGAGTTTGAGTAAGCTCCAGGTATTGGTGATGGACAGGGAGACCTGTCATCCTGCGGTTCATGGGGTCAGGAAGAGTTGAACATGACTGAGCGACTAAACTGAGCTGAACTTAGCAAATCAAAGAAAAACCTTCTTCAAATGTATTGAATATACATTTAAATAATTTTATGAGGTGAGGTTTTTTTTTCCCCCATGAAGGTGAACAGTAGTTGTAGAAGTAGGAATGTGTGTGCTCAGTCGCTAAGTTGTGTCTGACTCTTTGTGACCCCACAGACTGTATGTAGCCCACCAGGCTCCTCTGTTAATGGAATTTCCCAGGCAAGAATGCTGCAATGGGTTGCCATTTCCTTCTCCAGGGGATCTTCCCAGCCCAGGGGTTGAACCCACATCTCTTGCATCTCCCACATTGGCAGGTGGATTCTTTACCACTTGAGCCACCTTGGAAGCCCAAGAAATAAGAATAGGAAATATCTTTTGTGTGGGGTAAGAGTAATGGCTTGGGAGGGCTTGAGGTCATCTCTTTTAGCTGCCTGCTTCCGAGCAGAAGGAAAATCAGACTGATAACCAGTTGCTACTTGGAGGCACCCCCTTGTGTGATTATTGTGTCCCTGAAACTGCTTCTCTCATGACCTTGGTGAGGGGATTGGCCCAAGGTCTGGGAGCTCTGCTCGACTGGCAGTCTGCCTTCACCTTACCCGTGACGAGAAGACCCAGTCAGTGCTTTTCTCATACTTGATAAGCTTGTAATCATCTCTTCTGTGTCACTGTCTGCTAGTATTTCTAGACGTTCACCTGGTGAAAACTTTGTAAGGAAGGTGTTTCTATTCTTTTAAAATATCAATAGTCATACACTCTAAGCAATAGCTGACTATCGCCCTACTCATATATAAATGTGCTGCTCGGTTTTAATAATTAATAATCTCTTCTTAGGCTGTATCACCTGCACTGCGCTCATCAAAAATGCCTACAGTTGGGACAGAAGACCGACCTCTTGGGAAGGATGGAAGAGCTGCTGTTCCTTATCCACCAAGTAAGAAAAGGAAATGTAGCTTCAGCTTACTGCTTATAATATATACATAATGTTCTCATCCTCAGTGGTGCCTCATCTGAGTCCCCTCCTTTTTTTTTTTTCTTTCATTTTAACAGAATACTGAAAATAAATGAAAACTTGTATAAATTGGTGTTCCTAGGGTGGCAGGTAGCTAAGAGACCCATTTAAATTTGAAGTCTTTTTCCTTTTGTTTTCAAATTAACTTTCATGGTTTAAAATATGAAAAAATGTTTTAGGTTTGTTTTTCTAATAGTCCTTTCCTAGTAGGACAAATGCTGCACAGTGGTTTTCAGAGCAATATTCTGCTATAAGAGCTTGTGTGGAATGTTTCAATTTTCATAAATTTAATTCATACAAGGGTAATGAATATTTGTTTTCTATGGTCCTTTTTATGATTGATAATGAAGATTTTGTGTTTCGTTAAAGAGATCAGCTAGTTTTATTACGTATGTGGACGAGAAACTTCCTTTTTTTCCTAAGAAACATTATTCTGCAAGAGAGAAGAAAGTCAAGGTTGCTTATATGGGTACTCTGGAACTGAAACACAGTTCCATTGCAAATCATTCTTTAATACCTTCTCGTTAACTTCAGCTGGTAATGAGAACAAATTGAGGGGAAAAACCACCATGTCATAGGGATGAGTCAAAAAGTTTTATGAACCTATAAATGTACTGCTGATTTACTCAAATGTAGAAGTGTGAAGTATACAGAGATTGGATTTTGACAGCTTTAGTGGATCCATAGCTTTTTAAAATATGCAAAGCTTTCTCAAGCATGACATGTATGAAAATGAATAATGATAGCCAGCCAGTTGCTGTAGTTTTTTTAATTAAACATTTTTCTTTTTTTATTACTCTGCACTGCAGAATTTTACAAACATGAAACTCACAGATTAAAAGAAACATTATTAAAGTAGATTCATCTGGAATAAGGCAGATGAATGAATTCTTCCCTTGCATTTAACCAGTTGCTGTGCTTTTTTTTGACACTTTGATATGTAATCATGTTAGATGTTAAAATGTCTGATAACTTGTCCCAGATTATTCACTCACAAACCATCCTACTAGTTAGTGTCATTGCTAGTAAAGAATATGGTGTACTTTCTCTTTTTTCTCTCACTTCTGTTCCAAAGGGAATTGCTTCAGTAAGAAGCTACTCAGAATTTTATGATAAAGTACAGGTTATAAGAATTAATAAATTTGAAATATTGCAAAAATATTGGCATCAGGAAAATACAGATAAACAAGAGTCAGAGGATCTTATTAACATGTCAAAGTATGTGTGCGTGTATGTGGGTGGGGGGCGTACATATACATAGTATTTTCCTCCAAAGATGCAACAATGAAAATAGCATGGCAAGAAGCTCTTAATTTCTGCAGTAGTTTATTGTACATCGAAGTGGAAAAACATAGCATTTAATGTCTAGAATAGCAGCACCATCCAACACAAGTACAAGGGAAGCCACAAATGAGAGCCACATAAGATAATTTTAAATTTTCTATTAGTTGCATTAAAAAGTAAAAAGAACCCTGTGGAATTAATTTTAATAGTTTATTTTATTTAACTCAGTGTATCCAATACATCATTTTTATATGTCATCAGCATAAAAATACTGAGTTTTTTTACATTCCATTTTTGTATTAACTCTTTGGAATCCAGGTACCTTTTACACACCAGCATCTCTCAGGATGGATGGGGCCCCCTTTTGAATGCTCCATAGCCATGTGGCTAGTGGATCCTGTATTGCATAGCATAGGTCCATAATTACTCATTTGCATATGTAATAATGGAGAAAGCACCATACAGTAATAGTGAGATTTAATTTAGCATCAAGTCTGTGTTAAGTAAGTATTGTTACATTAATTGAAATGAAACGTTTCTCTTAGGTTTTATTATAAACCAGTCACATGACTTATCTTGGAAAGCATGTCAGTTTGAAGTATGAGACTTTCAGTTGGCAAAATGAAAGAGTTGGGCTTTGCATTGACTTTTTATTCTACAAGAGCGCTTACTGTTTGTAAGGGACGAGTACTGAGAACTTACCCTTGGTGATGGTGCTTCTGTTGGAAGGCTTTGGTCTGCTGCATAAATACTTGATATACAGGATAGGAAATGAGGGCGTCCTGAATGGTGAGTTCCTGCTGAAGTGCAGCAGGTCTTGAGGACAGGCAGGGATGTGTAACTGGAGCTTTGTGGGTAAGACTCTTAAACTCCAGTCCGTCCTGGTAGCTGTTCTCACACTCACTTTAGTCATTTTATGGGAAGAAAATTGAACAGGCAGTTCTACTACAGGCAATATTTTTCTACTTTAGAGGACCAGAATGTTTCTCTAGGTTGCTGTTTTCTTTCTACCTTACCTACTTTGAGTCCAGTTCCCTATTTTTCATCTCAAAACTTTTTAGGGTCATTTCAGGAATTTCCTGTGACTGAATAGCATTTTCCATCTTTTTCTAATCAAACCAAAATTAGGAGGGAGGACTAATTATTGCTGACTCTCACTACTTTCTGAGTATTTAGATGGACCTGGCAAACTGTTCACTTCTGTGCATACCTTATCTCATTTAACGTGCACAAAAAATATGAGGGAGATATTATTCCCATTTTGTAGATGAGGAAATTAAAACTATAGAGAGGTTACAAGTCTTCCTGAATAGCTCATAATGAGAATGGTGAAGACTGCTTTTTAACATAAATCTCTGGCAAGTGGAATATCATTTTATCCATACTTAAGTCTGTGTTCTCTCTTACCTTTGACAAAAATGATGAAGGTGGCTGAGGCTTTGCAAACTGAGATACGTAACTGTTCGGTAGCATCGAAGAAATAGAGGAGCCCTAAATGGCAAATGCCTTTTTTACACATCTCAGAGAAAATTTGAAAACAAATTTAATAAAATAATTTTGGGATAACATTTTGTACCATAGCTTGAATACTTAATAAATTAAGAAAGGGCTGTGTTTAAGTTCATTGCCATTTTAACTCAAAGTGAATTTATATAGTTTTGTTATTTTCCAGATATCTGCTTTGTTAATTAAGTTCTGTAATGTAACAGGAGTTTGAAGATTTTATGAAGCAGACACATGTTTTAAAACACTCTACTTACAAATTAATTTTATAATTTACATTGAACAGTAGCTGCTCTTTGGCTTGGGAAAAGGAATAGGGACCAAAGGTTAAAGGTGATGAATATATTTCAAGAATAACCTATTTTTCTGTATTAAAGTTTTTAGTCTTATTTTAAAGATGTATTGATTTGGTTGCTGCTGCATCTGAAGACCTGTTTTTCAGCAGCAGGACTTATCAACTCTATAATCTCTCCAGTGGTTCTATGATAGTTTCTGGCTTGGCTTGTATCCCTAATACTGTGGATTGTTATATGGTGTTAGGGTCAAATACTATTACAGCAAGAAAGTAACTTGAAGATCATCTTGGGAGTTTTACAATAGGTTTTCTTCTTCTTTTCTCTCTCTTTTTTTTTTTTTTCTGTAGCAGCAGCAGGTACTGTTTTGTCAAATGAAACCTTATACAGAATTCTATTATAGAAGTTAAATGGAAGTGGAGCTTCTCTAATGGAAGTAAAAGTTGAGATCTGAAACCCTGCCTATTGGCCTTTTTTGCCCCTTGTTGGTCCCCAAGGCCAGGAGAGGGTAAATTATTCAGGATTATATAAATAACTAGGAAACATGGTAAAAAGCATCTAATCCAGAGGTTCTCACCCTTTTCTGCTCCAGAGGGTGGAGTCGTTCCCCTCCCTCCATAAACAAAGGGAAGAAAGCAAGCCTAGTGAGAATCACACTCTTAGCCAAGCCTTTCCTTCTAGATGAAGAAACTAGGCCCAGGGGGAGGAAGTGAGCAGCACACAGCAGTGCTGTGGTGGGAGCCCCTGAGTGGGGGCCGGCCCACCGCTGCTCCTCTATACAGCTCTGCCTCAGGTGCTAGCTGGGACAGAGCACAGGGCAGCTATTCTTTTAAGTTCTGATTCAGTTCTGTAAGTCGTGTTAACATCTGTTCAGTAGCTACAGTAAATTATACCACTGTAGACAGTAGTTAGTTTAAATGTTGAAGTTGCTAGAAAGAGCAGTGTGGTTGAGAACTGGGGAGTTAGATGTTTCCAGATTACTGGTTTAAACTTGCGTCTCCAAATATGCAAATACATTTGCTGTACAGGGCACCCCCTACTGGCCAGATTTCACAACCACAACTTGCATTTCAGTCCATACACTCGGGCTTCAAGAATCAGTGCCTTAAAGAGACACTGGAAGTGATGATGGTTAACCTCAGGTATATAACAATGAGTTTTTTAAAAAAGGTTGAGAAGCACTGTTCTAAATATTACTTAAAAGATAATTTTTCCCCAGTTGATTTTCAATAAATTCTTTTGTTCTAGATATGATTATTAACCCTGACTATGAAGTTTCATTTCCTTAGATTTTTCAGGATGTCAGTTGTTAGACGGGGGGAAAAAGTATGTTTATGTAGACTTTGTTCACATAATTAATGTGAAGCCAAATTATAAAGCGTCAAGAGGACAGTTGTAAAGATTCAGCAAAGGCTAATTTTCCGCTGAAAATTTTCCTAATTTTCTTCTTAGGAACTTCCATTATTAGTACTCTATTATGTAACGGATATGCTCATTCAGTCAACATTATTTCTGATGCCAACTAGGGGGCCTGATTATGAACTGGGATTTTTTTTTTTTTTAAGAAGTCAGGCCCGTTAAAAATTTTACTTTCTTATTTATTTATTTATTTTTAGCAGTTGCAGACCTGCAGAGGATGTTCCCCACCCCTCCTTCTTTGGAACAGCACCCCGCATTTTCTCCTGTGATGAATTATAAAGATGGGATCAGCTCAGAGACAGTGACAGCATTAGGCATGATGGAAAGCCCAATGGTCAGTATGGTTTCAACACAGCTCACTGAATTCAAGATGGAAGTGGAAGATGGATTAGGAAGTCCCAAGCCAGAGGAAATAAAGGTAATTGCCGGGATATTAACTGTACAAAGACATGCATGCATGCTCAGACTCTCAGTCGTGTCCAACTCTGTGCAACCCCATAAACCACAGCCCATCAGGCTCCTCTGTCGGTGAGATTCTCCAAGCAAGAATACCCAGGGATCGAACCCATATCTCTTACATCTCCTGCATTAGCAGACGGACTCTTTACCACTAGCACCACCTGGGAAACCCATACAAAGACAGGGTGATTTTAAAGAACACTTTTCTACAGCTTCTTTAAAATAGTATTGTCTGTATGCAATATATACATACGTTCCTAAGGGTTCTCTGAATTAGACCATGTGGTATGTCACTTGGCATATTAGTGTCTTTTGATTAATTTAAAATGTTGGCATTCACATTTTCCCATTGATCAAATAAGAGAAATAGTGAATTGCAGTCATTTTTGTTGCTGTTTTGGTATGTCCTCAAGTTGTTTACCAGCTTGATCACCAACCCCACTTTGTTGTCACAGGACTTTTCGTACGTGCACAAAGTTCCAACTTTTCAGCCTTTTGTGGGATCCTCCATGTTTGCTCCACTGAAGATGTTGCCGAGCCAATGCCTGCTACCTCTGAAGATTCCTGATGCCTGTCTGTTTCGGCCTTCGTGGGCAATCCCTCCTAAAATTGAACAACTGCCCATGCCACCTGCAGCCACTTTCATTAGAGATGGCTACAAGTATGTACTGGGATTGTGTCAAGTCGCCTGCCATATTTAATAGGATTTTTATCATTTAACCTAAGTATTTACATGATGACAGCATTTCATTTGAAACTTTATCGGCCATTCATGTTTTTGTGCATATTCTTTTGTGTTGAAAATATTATTTTCTAAACTGAATTTCATATATATGGGAAAATTGAGGTTATTTGTGTAGAGAACCGTGGTGTTTATGGTCATTCAGTGTCAAATCAGAGTCTGTCACAGAACCATGCAGTAGATTGAAGTGGGTAATATTTTTAGGGTGATGGTGGTAAGTACTTTGCTATATGTACTTTGATGATTTCAGATGTGTTTACTTAAGGCACTTTAAGGTTAAGTATTCATATGCTAATTTCTGTTGCTCACCCCATGTCAAGAAAGCAGCAATAGAACAGTGCTATGATATGGGGGAGGGAAAAGGAAGTATTTATCATAGCTTGTACGTATTTCATACTGTTTCCAAATAATTTTGACTTCAACAATGCAGAATTAGTTTTCCCTTTGATAATTTCTTAATGACATAATGTAAATACTAAAGAGTGAAAGGCCTGTCAGGACCAAGCAAGCAGTATGTGGATGAGTGGTCTGGGTCCAGCCAGCACTAGGCACTGCTGATGCTCAGGTGTCACTGTGGGGCAGTGGGGCGAATGGGGTCGACAGTAGACTGTTTGGGAGTATGTATTGCCCCCTTTAAAGGGACTTTTCTGTTTTTGCTCTTCAACCAGAGGGAGTTGTTCAGGCAGGAATGTGAGAGATTTTAATGTGCATTTCCTTTTTAAAAATATTGATAGTTGGGAATTCCCTGGCAGTGCAGTAGTTAGGAATCGGCACTTTCCCTGTGAATGACCTGGGTTCAATCCCTGGTCAGGGAGCTAAAATCCTGCAAGACATGTGCCCTCTCCCCACACCAAAGAAAAAATTGTTGACAGTTAATTCAGAGTTACATTCTTAAAGCTAAGACAAATTTATGCTGTAGGTCCAGTCTGTGGGCTACTTTTGTGACCTTGTATAGAAATCATCTTGATGAAATCAACTTTAATTTTACAAGCAGGCTTTATGCTTATGTTTGTGTAAAGTCTGTATTGGAATGAAAAACTGTGACTGCGAAGTACTCTAAAATAACCTTAGACTTGGAGAAGTACATGGAGTCACAGGACTCAAATTCCTGCCTCTTTTGTTTAGTCTCTGTGTGACCTTAAGGGACCATTTTACTTGGGTCTTCTCCTCTTTAAAATGGAGTTTCAGGCACAAGATTTTTGAATTGCTCTGAGAACCGATGGCTGTAGAAGCAACACTCCACCAACAGTATAAATGTGTGTGCCTAGAAGCACTCTGTAGGGCAGGGCCTGGCTTATTCTCGGTTGCCTTTCTCCAGCTGTGTCCCAGCTTGCTTCATCTCAGACTGGTCCCGCACGGCTGGAGCGACTGGCACACGTGGGTGAGCATGCCGCTCACAAGCAGTGTCACCGCTTCAGAAGCTGTTCCACAGCTTAGCCTCTTATACACACAGGCTCCTCAAAACAGTAACACACAGCCCTTTGCTGCATGATAGTTTCTGTGACAGATAATTTAGATCATTGTTTAGGTCTATTAAATCTGTTGTCTGCCACCCCAGAGATTCTTGGTATTCTAAACTGGCACTGTTGACAGAACTTTCTGGGATAAAATAAGTATACCTGCACATTCCAGTGTGGCACCCACTACCCTCGTGTTGTAGGTAGGCACGTGGCTCGGTGAAACCAAGACTGAATCTTAAGTAAGTTCAGCACATGGGGCTGGTGGTTCGCTTACTTCGCGGACTGCACAGTTGTGGACTGTGGGAAGTCCTCCTGCTGTGGTCTCCATCACTGTGTGTGTGTGTGTCTGTCTGTCTGTCTGTCTGTCTGTCTGTCTTTGTGGGAAGTCCTCCTGCTGTGGTCTCCATCACTGTGTGTGTGTGTCTGTGTCTGTGTGGGAAGTCCTCCTGCTGTGGTCTCCATCACTATGTATGTGTATGAAGTCTTCCTGCTGTGGTCTCCATCACTATGTGTGTGTTTGTCTGTCTGTCTGTCTGTCTGTCTGTCTGTCTGTCTGTCTGTCTGTGTGGGAAGTCTTCCTGCTGTGGTCTCCATCACTGTGTGTGTGTGTCTGTGTCTGTGTGGGAAGTCCTCCTGCTGTGGTCTCCATCACTATGTATGTGTATGAAGTCTTCCTGCTGTGGTCTCCATCACTATGTGTGTGTTTGTCTGTCTGTCTGTCTGTCTGTCTGTCTGTCTGTCTGTGTGGGAAGTCTTCCTGCTGTGGTCTCCATCACTGTGTGTGTGTGTCTGTCTGTGTGGGAAGTCCTCCTGCTGTGGTCTCCATCACTGTGTGTGTGTCTGTGTGGGAAGTCCTCCTGCTGTGGTCTCCATCACTGTGTGTGTGTGTCTGTCTGTGTGGGAAGTCCTCCTGCTGTGGTCTCTATCACTGTGTGTGTGTGTGTGTGTGTGTGTGTGTGTGTGTGTGTGTTCAGTGACTACTAGGGGTGTGTGTGTGTGTGTGTGTGTGTGTGTGTGTGTGTGTGTGTGTTCCTCCTGCTGTGGTCTCCGTCACCGTGTGTGTGTTGCTCAGTCGTGTCCGCCTCTCTGTGATCCCACGAACTGTAGCCCGCCAGGCTCCTCTGTCCATGGACTTCTCCCAGCAAGAATACTGACGTGGTTGCCATGCCCTTCTCCAGAGAATCTTCCCGACCCAGGGGTTGCAGCCTGGCCTCCTGCACCGCAGGCACTCTTCACTGTCCGAGCTGCAGGCGGCCCTCCCGCTTTGCCGCAGACTCACCAGCATGCTCTTGATGCCCCTCATACTTGCCATGCACTGGCTTTTCTTCCTCTTTTTTTTTTTTCACTGTTGCATATCCAGCAGCTAGCATGGGGTTGGTTGGTCCTCAGTTCATTTTTCTTGAATGGGAAAAGTCAGGTTCCTATATACGATAAACCATTTTACTGCCTCGGGAGCAATTTAATTATTTAGGTTTTCAGTTAATCGTTGTAGTTCCCTTTCTGATCTGAACTGCATAATCATTTCAGAGTTTTGTTGAACAGGAAAATTTGAAAGGAGTCCAATTAGAGTAAAGATCATTATTACACACTTACCGTTTTGCTCTCTGAGATAGCAGTGATTGCTGATCAGGGTTTCTGGGTCACTCGTTATCTGTACTCAAAGACACCACTGTGCCTCAGATTGAACATTTCTTTGCAGAACCTGATTTGGATTTTCAGGTTGGTAGGTTAGGCATAGCTAATTAAAAATCAGAAGAAAGTGATTCAAAGAGCCATTACTTTATGACATTCTTCTTTCAAATTATAAGTGAATGAATATGTACTTTATTGGAGGAACATTAGTTTAAGCACAGTATTAATAGAAGAATTTTAAGCATTTAAAAATCTTATTTCTTTTGATACCTTCTGATTGGAAAGAATGATCCCAGTCTGTTTTATGGGTGCCTCTGAGAATGTAGAACAAGAACATTTTATTACAGTGAGAACATTGTGGACACTGTTTTGTCTTCTTTGTGGCTGTTCCAGACAGAAGTCACTGCTTATGAGAAAACAGCACAGTGTGATTGTCTCTGGGAATTCAAAATCATGATGCTGTTTTGCATGGCATACGGAAAATAGAAAGTGAACTGCAGTTGCCTCCCACAGAAACCTGTTAGCAGTTTGGACACTTTGATGTAGCGTGTATACTTACATGCAATGACCTAATTAATACTAAATCCTCTTGGCAGCATGTGTAACATTTGTATTAATTGTAATATATGACTGGCCAATGGGTTCCTCAAATAGAATTCCCTCATGGTCACTCATTACGATAAAAATGCTAGCTAGATAGGATTGCATTTTTTGGAAACTAGAAAAATGTTAAATTTTCATGTGCCTTTGATTATAACTACTGTAGAATTATATGTAGATTATAGCCTCAGAGAACAAGTACACTGGCAGACTTTCAGTCTCAAAAAAGGACAAAATTGTAATTGCAAATTAGATGGGAATTTCATCTATGGTCTTCTAGCTAATTTGGCATCTGAACTCATGTGTTAAAGTTCTATTTAGTAGTTAGAGTTTTTCAGAACTACTTTGTCCAAACCCAGTGTCATGTTTTCTTGTTAAAAGTAGTAAAAGTTTCCTCAAAAGATGAAGAGGAGGCTTGCTGAAGTGTGGACTGAGTGGAAGGGCAATGCTATATTGAATTATTCTTCATACCTTGCTGCTTGCTTTTCCACACACTGCACTGACTCCTTTGAATCCCGTAAAAAAATATATAGAAACTGAAATAAACCGAGCGATAGCATGCATAAGTAAGAAATGTCCGGGCCAGGCTGGGGTGCTGAGGTGCATGTCCGGCACCCGGGACCTGCCCCCTCTTCTCACGCGGTGCCATCTCTCTTGCAGCAATGTGCCTAGTGTTGGGAGCCTGGCAGATCCAGATTATCTGAACACGCCACAGATGAACACGCCGGTGACGCTCAACAGCGCTGCCCCAGCCAGCAACAGTGGAGCAGGAGTTTTACCGTCCCCAGCAACCCCTCGCTTCTCTGTCCCCACACCACGAACCCCCAGGACCCCAAGGACTCCTAGAGGAGGGGGCACTGCCAGTGGCCAGGGCTCTGTGAAGTATGACAGCACGGACCAGGGCTCACCAGCCTCCACCCCCTCTACCACTCGGCCTCTCAACTCTGTGGAGCCCGCCACCATGCAGCCAATCCCCGAAGCCCACAGCCTCTATGTCACCCTGATTCTTTCTGATTCTGTGATGAACATCTTTAAAGACAGAAACTTTGACAGCTGTTGCATCTGTGCCTGCAACATGAACATCAAAGGGGCGGATGTCGGGCTCTACATCCCCGATTCTTCCAATGAGGACCAGTACCGCTGCACCTGTGGGTTTAGTGCGATCATGAATCGCAAACTTGGTTACAATTCGGGACTCTTCCTGGAAGATGAGTTGGATATTTTTGGGAAGAATTCTGACATTGGTCAGGCTGCCGAAAGGCGTCTAATGATGTGTCAGACCACCTTCCTTCCTCAGATGGAAGGAGCCAGAAAACCCCAGGAGCCACCAATAAGCCTTCTCCTCCTCTTGCAGAACCAACACACACAGCCTTTTGCTTCACTGAGTTTCCTAGACTACATTTCCTCCAGCAGTCGCCAGACCCTTCCCTGTGTGAGTTGGAGTTACGACCGGGTGCAAGCAGATAATAATGATTACTGGACGGAATGCTTTAATGCCTTGGAGCAGGGTCGGCAGTATGTGGATAATCCCACGGGTGGCAAAGTGGATGAAGCCCTGGTGAGAAGCGCCACTGTGCACTCTTGGCCTCACAGCAACGGTAGGTTTCCCGGAATACAGATTTACTTTGAGAACTGTCTCGGTGTGACGATAACTTGCACACTTGCCTTTATGTGACAAAATTTTAAATTTTATTTCTTAAAAAATAGACAGAATTGAACTGAGAGCTATCTTGAAATTCGAAATTTAAGGATGGGGAAATGTTTCATGTTGAAACACATTTGGAGAAGAGTAATTCTGTTGTGGGATAAAAGTCATCGGGATCAGCGGTCCCTGTCCTTTTTGGCATAAGGGACCGGTTTCATGGGAGACAATTTTTCCATGGACCAGAAGGATATGAGTGTTGGGGAGTGGCTGTAAATACAGATGAAGCTTCACTCGCTTGCTTGGCTCTCACCTGCTGCTGTGCGGCCCAGTTCCTAACAGGCTGCGGACTGGTACTGGTCTTTGGCCCAGGGATTGGGAGCCCTGATCTAGATTATACAGACTGATAATCTTCACACCCTTTTGGGTCAAGTTTCCATGATACTTCTTCCAGGAAGCCTTCTGTCCATTTACAGAATACTTTCTCTTGCCTCTGGTTTTCCAGTATTTTGTGTCTCTGGTAACAGTAATCACATTTTACTTTATGTTGTGGCTCCTGGGGCATGTCACTATCTTAAAAAACTCCAGGTGATAAATGTTTTTGGAGTTTGGCTCTAAGAGTGCTGAGCACCTGACTGTTACCTCTTCTTTATTCATTCTCAATCTATGCTGTGGTGTGTCCTGGGGGAAAAAGTGGTGAATGAAAGAGACAAGGTACCTGCCCTCAGGGACTTTCTAATCTATTTTGGAAAATGACATGAATCACATAATTACACAAATAAGCATATAACTGCAAATCATTATAAGTGATGAAAGCATGGGGTTTCAGAGGACACTTCCTTGAAGAAGCAGTGATATTCGAGATTGCAACGCTGGGTACAGGTTAACTGAGGGCAGTGGTGGCGAGCGTGGAGGGCCAGAGTTAAGTAGGGTGTGGGGCCTTCAGAGAAGCTCAGAGGCCAGCAGGGCTAGACTGTCAAGAGCCTTTGGGGACACGCTGGGCCCTGGGTCTTCAGATTTAACAAGTCCTTGATGGGTTATGAAGAGACACTGCCATCAGATCTGTGTACTCAGAAACAGTGGACTCTGACTGGAATGTGGGCTGAGGATTAGAAAATGGCAAGAGGGGATTGGAGGACACTGAGAAGTTCCTGCAGCAGATGAAAGAACGAGTAGCTTGGCTTAGTGTCCTAGCATAGGAGATGGAAAAGAAGTGGAAACAGTCACGGGACGTTTGGGAGGTATTATGGTGGGACTTGGTAATGCGTTGGGTTTGGGGGATCAGAGAGAGTGAGATATTAAGGAAGACACCCAGGTTTGTGACTTGTACACCTGGACAGACAGTGGCATGTTGGTCAAAGATGAGTGTTCTGGGGAAAGACTCAAAGATGAGTGTTCAGAATAGGTCTGAAGGTCATAATTGAGTTTGGGAAGTTTTAAAGATCTCCTTTGAGATGTCCAGGTGGACACTTGGGACTTTATGGTGTGGCGCTTGGGAAGGGGAGTGGACGGCACATGGATGATAGCCCAGGTCAGGGCGTGGTGAAGGAGGAGGGCTCACTGAGGAGGAAGCAGGCATGGAGCCAGAGGAGGGCCTGCATTTGCTACATTCTGCTGTGTAACCAAGCTCCACCAAGAGAGTGGTCAACAGGCATTCAGTACGCCAGGCTTCTAAGATAAGTATTAAACAGGTCTTTTGACCACAGTGAGAGCTGTTTTTATAACTGCTTAGGTTTAAGTACAGTGCCTTATACTTAGCAGTCCTTGGATTAATGACTGCTGCATGAATTTATGAATTAAAGTCTTTCCCCTAAAGAATTATGGGTGATTATCTTACTAGTTAGTGGCCTTCAGATAGAAAAGCAGTCTGGGTGGGTGGATGAGTAGTGTCATCTTTGGATATGAAGAATAGCATGTTTTATTGCAGATGAGATGTGGGTTCTAAATTCAGATGCTGAAAGTACCAGACGGATTGTGTAAACAAATGATGTGGAGAGCCAGCTTTGCAGAAAAGCAGTGTCCTTCCACAATATCCTTCTGCTTTGTATGCACAGGAAGAGAGTTCACAGAGAATCGCCTCTGCTTTTATCTTTCTGTAACGTGTAACTCTCTGGTCTGTCATTTTCCTGCACTGGGCAGAGCCGTGGTACAGGAAGTACTTTACTTTTTCTTTACTGTGAGAAGAAAAGCAGCACAGGCTTGAAGATAGAGGCAGTTAATCCTGCTGCACCCTCAGGCAGGCAGCAGAGTGTCTGAAGGAGACGGCACCTGGACTCCCACAGGCGGTGGGCATCTAGCAATGTAGTGGTCTCAGCCCCAGGCTTGTCAGATAGTCTTCCAGTTTTTCAAGAGAAGCTGGAAATCCAGATTTGTGTATGAAATTTCCTGAGAAGTCTGTTTCAGATTGAAAAATGAAAACAAAACCTCTGTGCCATCAATTTGCAACCCGTGTTTGATTTGAGGACACACCTGAGAATGTCTTCAGACCCTTAAGCACCCTGTGTTCCAGGTTCAGTTGGTAAATAGGTCACAGGTTTCCATCTGTACCGCCGTCCTCGTCAGCTGGAGAAGAGGAAAGGAAAGGTCTGCAGGTTCATAGCTGACCACCTCCAGCTTCAATACTTCTTTCTTCACATCTTTTAGGGAATTTGATGAGCATTATAGACCCTCTCCCCACTGGGAAAAAATACACCTGTGTTCATGCAGGCACGTGCAGTTTGGGGAGAGTTTCAGAGGTTTTTCATGTTTGAGGTTAAGGAGTCCTCCTGCTAGCAGGAAGAATGTGCGTTCTGAAACTGTGACTCCCCAGCTGTCCTAAGCTGCTTTTTAAATTCCTTTTTCCCACTCATCATATAATCAGATAAACATTAATATTTGTAAACAAAGGTAATTAAGAAACTGGACTCCCCTGGCCATCTAGTGGTTAAGAATCCACCTGCCTTCCATGGGGCCACGAGGCCGATGCGCTGCAACCACTGAGCCTGCACTCCGGAGCGTGCAGGCCGCAACAAGAGAAGCCACTGCAGTGAGAAGCCCACACACTGCAACTAGAGAACAGCCTCCTCCTGTTCACTGCAACGAGAAACCTGGACACAGCAACAAAGACCCAGCATAGCCATACATGCATAAATAACCTTCTCGAAAGTAGTTAAGAAACTAAAAGTAATTTGCCGGGGTCCAGCCCCAGCAGGATCCAGGGGAACCCTCAGGATGAACGGTGTCGGCGAATGAGAGAGAGAGAGAGACAAAGCTCAGGGCTAAGTCTGAAGTTTATTTTCGCACGGCTCCTTTATACCCTTAACAACATCTTCGGGGGAAGTGCATATTGCTTACACACAGGGCATCTCAAAACATTACAGCAACTTGACCTTCAACAGAAACTGGATGTCACCCACATACTTTTTCGTTCACAAGAGTCTTTCTTATCATTTGGCCTTCAGGCCTGCTAACATTTTATGGCTTGCACCTGGTGTGACTTAAGCAACTTCAGTAGCCGACCCTGTTTTTCTTAAAATTAATCTATTTTCTTTCTAATAAGCGTCATCTCTATGGGAGCTAGATAGGATTACATTTTTATAGAACAGGAATGCGAAGGACTGCAAAAACAGCAGATATGGCACAAAACAGGCTCTTAATCTAAAAGTTAACTACCTGCAAGAAGTCGCCAGCTAATCTCTATCTAAAGTATTTTCTATGAGGCACATTTGTGGCTATCATGTTTGTGGAGCTTTTCTCACCCCATGAAGGGGCCTGTGCTTAATAGTTTCTTTTGTTAGCTTATTGTGCTTAGGATGTTTAGAACAATCAAGAGCATTTTTTGCAGTGAGAGCACATATTTATCACATAAGCCAGAATGCCAGCAAAAGGGTTTGAATTGAAGCATTTCCTTCATCCCTGGCCCCTTCATAGGGTACCAGCTTCCAAGAGATTTATTAATTAGGATTTTAAGTTGGTCTTTATTCAGTGAAAGAGGAGCAGGAAAGCTTTCGGCAGGCAACACAAGAATCCGCAGCAGGGCAAACAAGAACAACAGCAGAAATAAGTGGGGAGGATACAGGGGTGGGGTAGAGACCGAGGCCAACCTGGAGGGTCCCTTATCCTAGACGGCCTTGCCTGTCAGGTTTTCTCCTCGTGACCTCGTCATGGATGGGGTCCCGGACGGCCTTGCCTGCCTGGTATTTTCTTCATGACCTCGTCACGGGCGGGACCCCCCATAACAGCTCCCGGCAGTAATTATGAAGCAATCATTAAGAAATTTTTGCAGCTCTCTTATGAATACCCTTGGAAACAGGTCTGTATGGTTTTAAAAAGTCAGACCTATTCACCTTTCCACTTTTAGGCAGTTCTATAGTTAGCCTTGATTATATAGAATAACCTTATTTCCCCTTTTATTATTTCCAATAATAATAAAATTTATTACTTACTAAATATTTTAAGTAGACTCTACTGCTAGTGACGTCTCTGTCACGGCCTGTCGCTGAGGTCATGCCAACCCGCCTTGACGGTTCCTGTCCTGTTCCTGTCACTTCTCTTGCAGTGCTGGACATCAGCATGCTGTCCTCCCAAGACGTGGTCCGTACGCTGCTGTCTCTGCAGCCCTTTCTCCAGGACGCCATCCAGAAAAAGCGCACGGGCAGGACCTGGGAGAACATCCAGCACGTGCAGGGGCCACTCACCTGGCAGCAGTTCCACAAGATGGCAGGACGGGGAACCTACGGTAGACCTTTCTCCCTGTTGACAGTCTTTTGGATTTTTTCTTCCGTGAAAAGAGCAGCTTTAGTTACTATCAAGTCCTTCCTTCGCTGACAAAATAGAATCTTTTCCCTCCTGACTACTAAATTTTATAATCTCCTGTTTTCCAGTAGTCAGTTTTGGAGATAATGTTTCTTAATATCTTTGGCATAATCAAGGTCAATGGGGCAAATAATGCCCAACTAGACTATTTGTTAGAATCTCCTCTTCCCAGTCCTCACTGCCGTTTCATGTGGATGAGCCTCTGAACTAGTTCTGTCAGCTTCTTTGTAGTCAGGACCATAGTGCTTGTCTTAGAGGAAGGTAGATAGTTCTGTTTGGAGAACTAACAATACCTGCTCTAGTCTGCACTCACTGAACCTTTATAAGCATGTTCTGACTCATTTAATTAAAGTTCTTCATCAGGGGCCATTTAATTAGAGGATTTGAAGACTACTTTTAAGAGTATCATGTCAGCCTGCAATAAAATGTCTGATGCCAGAATTAAGACGAATCGCCAGAGAATTCGCAGTTGTGGAGGTAGGGGGAAACGGACTCGTAAGAGCTTTCCTAAACTGCAGTCTTGTTTTAGGTTCTGAAGAGTCTCCTGAGCCACTGCCCATTCCCACCCTGCTGGTAGGCTACGACAAGGACTTCCTCACCATCTCGCCATTCTCCTTGCCGTTTTGGGAGAGGCTGTTGTTGGACCCATACGGGGGCCACCGTGATGTTGCCTATATTGTGGTGTGTCCAGAAAACGAGGCCTTGCTCGAAGGAGCCAAAACTTTCTTCAGGGACTTGAGTGCTGTATATGAGGTGAGAAAGACACGAGAGGTGAAAGTCATCTGAATGATGCAGGTCCTCAGATTGTTTCTAGTTGTGATTAAATTTTAAAGTATAAATACCTTCAAAATAGATCTCCAGGAAAATTTGCACATAGTTGGAGGATGAAGAAAAGGATAAGTTGGCAAGTTTTTCAGGAAGTACATTGTTTTCCCATCATGTTATTAGATTGAAAAGATTTTCCTCTACCAGCCTTACTAGACATCTTAAAATCCCATCAGCTGTTTTTTCCCCCGTTTATGTGCTTGAGTTTAAAAGGACTACTCACCGGGGGATAGTGGTTGTTCGGAAGATGAACGTGCACATCTACTCTTGGGGGTGGGAGGGAGTTCCTGAAAACAGCATAAGAATGTTTAGCTGGAAAATTCCTGAATCATATAGAAGTTTAATGACTCATATCCCTGTTATGTTTTATTTAAACATCTTAATACTTAGTTTTGGTACAGATTAATAATGTAATAACCCTAATAATGTTAGATAATTTTGTATATTTAGTATATAAAGTCCTGTTACTTTTGAAAAATTAGAATCATATCTGTCTTTAAAGAGTTAGTGTACATTTCTTCTGCTAAAGTACATATACACTAAAGTTTTTGTACCTTATACTCCTAATTAATCTTCATATTTGATGAGAGTAAATGAAATTAGTGTTTATAAAGTGTTTGGAGCTGTGATATATTATAAGCATTACAAAAGTGTTTATTAAATAAGATGCCAAGTTGAATTTCAAAAATATTCCATAACAGAAATTGACCATCTATAAATGTATGAGTACACATGAAATGGTAAACTTACATGTTGCTTCAAAGAAAAGAGAAGACGCTTATGTCTGAAATAATGGCATCAATTAAGCCACTGAAGGAAATCCTTGGAAACAGTAATTTCTAAACAGTGCCTGGTCCATGATGTGTAATAATACTAAATCATAATTACCCTAATGCAGAAAACTTGTCTAAGCAATTTTAAAGCCCAGTCATTCTTTTGAATGAAGCTCTCAGCATAAGTTACAGAAGATAAAAGTTCTGATCACTTCAGAATTGCTCTTTTGGCAGTAATACATACCTGCTTCAGAGGAGTGTACACTAGAGGATTTTTAGGAGCTTGGTTAGCCTTCTGTTCATCAGCTGTAGTATGGGCTAGTTATATGGGCTCTCCTGCCAGTGAACATGTAGTTAAGTAGCTTACTTTTTGCAGATATATTGTATTCATTCTTTACTATAAGCACCCCTTTAATGTTCTGGAGGTTAATAACGGGATCTCATTGTGCTAAAACAACGATTTACTTTTAAAAAGTGGTCAGCATGTCCACTGCTTTAGTGGCCTCTGCTCTTTGGGAATCTCCAAATGTAACAGTGTAACAGGTGGCCCATACAATGTTAGTGTTATCTTATGGGAGAACATCCAGAGTAGAGATTACTTAAGAGAGTTCAGTGGACATATGTCTCCGTCAGCCTTTGTAGGCAGGAATCTGGCTCTTTATTTGACCATTAGCAGTCAGGTAGCGCTCAGCAGTGTTCCCTTGTGTGGGAGGAGGTGCTTGGGGTGAAGAAGCCTTTATTTTTTTCTTCAGAAAGAACATTTTTCCTTAGAGAGGCCAGTCCAGGGTTTGGAGAGACGAGAGAGCAGATTCAAGTACATTACTGGTCTGGTTGCATGTGGCAACGCTGAGAGAAGAAGGAAGAGGCCTCCACGTGTATGTCAGGTGTCTCAGCGGCTGACGGTGCACTCTGAGGAGGGAGGGTCCCTGTTCTGAGTGGGGTCTGCTGTGTTCTGTCAGATGTGCCGGCTCGGGCAGCACAAGCCCATCTGCAAAGTGCTGCGCGACGGGATCATGCGTGTGGGGAGGACCGTGGCGCAGAAGCTGACGGAAGAGCTCGTGAGCGAGTGGTTCAGCCAGCCGTGGGGCAGCGAGGAGAGTGACAATCATTCCAGACTCAAACTTTATGCGCAAGTTTGCCGCCATCACCTAGGTAAATGGGGATATACATGACAAAGTCAAATTTGAGATATGGAATAGCAGATTGTTTCCCCCCTCCCCCATTCTTGACTGAAAAAATCCCATGGACAGAGGAGCCTGACGGGCTACCGTCCATGGGGTCACAAAGAATCGTACGTGACCGAGCGCACAATCTTTTTGTTCTAAGTAGTTAAATGCTAGTTTTAATGTGCACATATATTCTTGAAAAGCTATTTAAAGTAGCCTAAAGAAGTCATATCTAGTTTACTCCACATTTCGAAAATGTAGCAGCATGATTTGGTATTAACTGGTTAATTTTAACCCAGATTCTCAAGAGAATCTTAGACCTAGCTTATAAGGTGTTAAACACATAGGAGCATAATATACCATGATGTCTGTAGAATACATGGCCTCTCAGTTTTTAGTGAAGGTGTGTGGAATTGGTCTGAAAGGAAAATGATTGGTTTTCCTGTAAATGAAATGGTTTTCTCCTTTTTCTTCTGTTCTTCAAATAAGACTCTTCCAGAGTTTATAATAAGTAGCCCCATGTTTACTTCCTGTATACAAGCTTGTCTGTATACAAGCTTGTGTTCCGGTGTGGAGATAGCATTTTGGGTGTCAGAACCAGAGTATTGCAGCCTGGAAGCATAGCTCTTCAGAAGGTGACTGTTCTGAGTGTCTGTCTCAGCCAGGCCTGCGGAACGCCCCTGAGGGCACCTCTCTGTGTGTCCTCTTTCAGCACCTTATCTGGCCACTCTGCAGCTCGACAGCAGCCTGTTGATCCCACCTAAGTACCAGACCCCACCAGCAGCAGCACAGGCGCAAGTGCCACCTGGGAGCACTGGGCCTTTGGCTTCAAATCCAGGCTCGGCCGCACCCTCGGCGGGCAGTGCGTTTAATCCCACCTCCAACGGCAGTTCTCTGAACCCGGCTGCAAGCAGTTCTGCCTCTGGCTCCGCTGGGCCCCCGGTCTCCACATCCGCCTCTGCTCCCGTCATCAACCAGATCAGCACTACCTCTTCCTCAGGATTCAGCGGTAGTGTCGGGGGGCAGAACCCCAGCACCGGGGCCAGCGCTGCAGAGAGAACACAAGGGAACCTGGGCTGTGCTGGAGACAGCGAGCCCGGGCAGAGCTCCTCGCAGCCCTCCCAGGACGGACAGGAAAGGTACGGTACTCTGACTGAGCCGAGTGGCTTCGACTTGGACCCTGGGCTACTCTTCCTCTATGCCCCCAGCCCCCTCAACTTCACGCGTCTCTAAACCTAGTGAAGTGCTGTATTTCTATTCTTCCCCCAAGAAGGTAACAACTGTCAATCTATAGTTCAGTGTTAAGAAATTTGAGAACTTCTTATAAACTTACTAGTAATTATTGTATTACTAGTATAATAGTATCTACTAATTAATATACTTAGTGTAATTAATATTACTATTAATACTATATGAATAATATTTCTCTGGTGGCTCAGTGGTAAAGAATCTGCGTGCAATGCAGGAGACCCAGGTTCAATCCCTGGGTTGGGAAGATGCCCTGGAGAAGGGAATGGCAACCCCTCCAGTATTCTTGCCTGGAGAATCCCATGGACAGAGGAGCCTGGTGGGCTACAGTTGGACAGAGTCCAACACAACTGAGTGACTAACATTTTCACTTTCAACCTCTTCATATTAACATAACAGCATTATAAAACATCTTCGTAGAAGGAAATCATGGGGGTGAAAAGAGATCTCCTATTTTAGAGAAGCACATTGTCATTTTCCATCTATCTTGGTGCCAACTGACTTGGTTTGCCTTCATTTTGTTCCCTGTTGATGTTGCATTTACTCTGTAATCACTGTCCAGGGAGTCAGTCTGCTCTTGAGTTGATGTATTTTTTATAATTTATGTTGCGCATCTCATAAGTGGCTCTGTTTGCAGTGTTACAGAAAGGGAGAGAATAGGAATTCCCACGGAGCCCGACTCTGCAGACAGCCAAGCCTACCCTCCCGCTGTTGTCATTTACATGGTGGACCCCTTCACCTACACTGCGGAGGAAGACTCCACTTGCGGAAATTTTTGGCTTTTGAGTTTGATGCGCTGCTACACAGAAATGCTGGATAATTTACCTGAGCATATGAGAAATTCTTTCATTCTCCAGGTAACGAACTGCAAGTTTATTTACTTTGTTGTTATTTTTATGAAAGTAAATACATTAAAAAAAATAGTATGTATATGAAAACAAAAATTATTCTTAATTCTACCTTTTAGATTCAGACATTATTAGTTAGTATTTTGATGTTTCTCTAACCTCTTTTCTGTGTTTGTTTACACAATTGAGATCATATTTTCATGTAATTTTTTTTCTACCGTTTCACTGTTTTAGCAATCTAGTGGTTGGGATTCTGTGCTTCCAGTGCCGGAGCCAGGTTCAGCCCCTGATTGGGGAACTAGGGTCCTGAAAACTGCATAGCGTGACCAATAAATAAATGAATACTGCCATTATAAACATCTTTATGTGTAATCTCTCTTTGATAAAGATACTGGTAAATAATGCCAGATTCCTTTCCCAACTATACTTATTTATGGTTCTTTCAGGAGTGAATGAGCATGCTCATTTTCACTGCACCTTTGCCAGCTTCATAGTGTAATAATTTTTTAAGCTTATAATTTAATAGGTGAAAAATAATGGGTGTTTAGATTTTTGTATTGTTGTCTGTCTTAACTCAAGTCATTTCTATAGAATTAATTTAAAGCTCCTGGAGTAGTTTGTTGATAGTTTTTCGTTGAAGTTTTGTGTCTCACATGATTAGACAATAATCCCAGTGATGCCATGCATATTAAATGTATATGTGATAGAACTGAGAAATATATTTAAAAGCAAGTTTTAAAATTTGAGGGCATGGCAACAATAAATTGAGAATTTATCCCTAAAATGGGAACAGGGTAATTTCTAAGTGACAATGTAACTTGCCTAGCAGAGTGACACCCTTTCTTAAACTGCTGTTATTTGTAATATAAGACTTTGTGTCAAAAAAAAAAAAAAAAAGACTGTGTCACTGAAAGGAATTAAGATTGGATTATATTATGTTTGGCATTTCTGTATTTTAAGACTAAAGTTGCCTCCCCATTCAAATAAAGAATTCATACCATTTCCTTTTCCAGCTGCCTTGTTAGCATATTAGATCTGTTCCCAGTCTTGTTTGTATTTCTGCCTGTAGATTGTGCCTTGCCAGTACATGCTGCAGACAATGAAGGATGAGCAAGTTTTCTACATTCAATACTTGAAGTCCATGGCATTTTCAGTGTACTGCCAATGCAGGCGACCTCTGCCTACACAGATCCACATTAAATCCCTCACAGGATTCGGGCCTGCCGCCAGCATTGAGATGACTCTCAAGAACCCAGAGGTAGGCAGCAGCAGGGCAGAATTTTGCAAAGACTGCTTTTATACTAAAGATGTAAGCCAGGAGAGTTACTCGCTTGTTCTGTCTTCTCCCTTTACATAAGAGTGGTAGATTTCTCTAATCCTTAAGTTGAAATGGAGGAGGTAACATCTCTGAACTTGCATTTTTTGAGAAAGGAGGCAAGCAAACTCCTGCTTTTTTCTTGATGTAAGACCTAAGGCAAAAACACACTTATCCTTCTTACTTACTATTTTACTTATTAATTTCAGCTTTCCTATATTTATTTTGCTCATTATTTTTGGAAGCTGATCTGTGTCTTGAATCAGTCTCTACCTCTACCTCCCCCAGCTCTTTCTTCCTGGAGCAGCTGTTGTGTGTGTGTTCACTACACGGGCCGCTCACCTTCTGATGCTTCTCTTCCCCTGGTCTCTGTGCTTCTGGATGAATGTGTTTTCTCTCCATCTTCCTAACCCTGTCTTCCACAGATGTGTACCTCCAAAACACCGAGGCAAACATTCTTTAAACAGGAGTTGTCCACTGCTGTTGTTTTACTAGATCATCTTTTCCTGAAGACAGATGTACAGGGCAGTGTTGAGGACTTTCAAAGCCTTCAAAAATCAATTCCACAACTTTTGCATGAAAAATTACCCATTAATAAGAGCCAGCAAACGCCGCTTTGCTGTTAGAGAACTTAATACCCCAAACTGCTAATTTTAGTTGGTAATGTTTTTCTGGAAAACTAAAAAAAAAAAAAAAGACAGTGTACTACTTAATACCACATTTGTTGTAACTTGGTTCAAGTCAGCTTGGTCCCAAGGAAGGGAACTGCTTAGCTGACAGCTTACATCCACTCGGGGGTTATAGGAAAGTTCTGTCTTTGGCAATTTTAGGTTAGTTGGTTGAGTTTGTGTTTTTTTTACTTTGGTGAGCAAGTCATCTATTTTCTCTACTACTAGTTTTTTCTAGAATTGTAATAAATCTGTTTCTACTTCTTATTTGTGCCTGGAAATTATGAGTTTGTCCTTTCTGTTTACACTTTAAATCTCTTAGTTCTTTACCTCTTGTGGTTATTGCGCAGTTCAGATGCAGTCATTCCTTATGCTTTCGTAAGAAGCTATCACAATTTCAAGTGACAGCTAATAGCAGTCTGCATTTTCATAGAAGTGAGTAAAGGCTGACTACCTATATTAAGATATCCCAAGGCATTATGTAATGTTTTAAAAGATTATATAACATACTGGCAGAACACCGTGAGAGTTCATGAGACAAAGTGAGGCTCAGATGAAAATATATCGCAAAAATATGCTTTCTTCCTTTTGCTTTGGAACAGGAAGAGAGAGATCAATTGTTTGGCTTAATTAAAAACCTAAGAACCAAACATTATGAATACTTACTGAGGCCCGTAAATCTTCGCTTGCATTAAGGCACTGGCCCACTGCTCGGTGCGGCCTCTCCTCAGCCTGCAGGGAGAATTCTGTACTTTCACCCAGCGGCTGAAGCAGAGTGTCTGCTGCGTGCCGGACTCCGCGTTAGGTGTCGGCTGTGCAGCGGTCAACGCGATGCTAGTCCTCTGCTTCCAGGGGTTCTCGGTTTCTGCAGTGGCACAGCCTCATGCAAGCTCCTGGCAGCCACTATTGCACTTGCTGTCTCTGTAGGGTTGCCTGTTCTGGATGTTTTATGTAAATGGATTCATCCCATACATAAGCTTTTATGTCTGGCTTCTTTCATTTAACATCATGTTTTCAAGGTTCCTCCATGTCATAGCACATATGACACTTCTATGGCTAAATTATATGGATGGACCACAACTTGTTTATCCCATTAGTGGATGGATGTGTGGACTTTTCCACTTTCTGGCTGTTGTGACTAATGCTGCTCTAAATAGCTGTGTATGAGTTTTTATGTGACTATAGAATTCATGGGTTGGCAACTCCTGACTGTGGGCTAAACCCAGCCTGCAGCCTGCATGTGTGTGAGCAGCCAGATAGGAGTGGCGGTTCCATTTTTACAAAGAGAGGTTATGAGAGACTCACAAGGCCTAAGCATTTGCCATCTGGTCCTTTACAGAAGTTTGCTGATCCCTGCTGTAGTCTACTAAATACTGATACGTATATAATAGCTGTAAACAAAAAGGTTAAATTTCGTCACAGTTCATCTAAAATATTTGTCTTAGGTAACAGCTAATGCTTTGATTTCTTAAATTGCACACACACACACACACACACACACACACAGAGTAAAGTATAACATACACACAGAAAAGTGCCCAGTCTTAAGTGTTCAGTTCAGTCACTCAGTCGTGTCCGACTCTTTGCCACCCCATGAATCGCAGCATGCCAGGCCTCCCTGTCCATCACCAACTTCCAGATTCCATCCAAACCCATGTCCATCGAGTTGGTGATGCCATCCAACCATCTCATCCTCTGTCGTCCCCTTCTCCTGCCCTCAATCTTTCCCAGCATCAGGGTCTTTTCAAATGAGTCAGCTCTTCGAATCAGGTGGCCAAAGTATTGGGAGTTTCAGCTTCAACATTAGTCCTTCCAATGAACACCGAGGACTGATCTCCATTAGGATGGACTGGTTGGATCTCCTTGCAGTCCAAGGGGCTCTCAAGAGTCTTCTCCAACACCACAGTTCAAAAGCATCAATTCTTCAGTGCTCAGCTTATTAAAGTCCAACTCTCACATCCATACATGACCACTGGAAAAACCATAGCCTTGACTAGACGGACCTTTGTGGACAAAGTAATGTCTCTACTTTTTAATATGCTGTCTAGGTTGGTCATAACTTTCCTGCCAAGGAGCAAGCATCTTTTAATTTCATGGCTGCAATCACCATCTGCAGTGATTTTAAAACCCAGAAAAATAAAGTCAGCCACTGTTTCCCCATCCATTTCCCATGAAGTGATGGGACCAGATGCCATGATCTTAGTTTTCTGAATGTTGAGCTTTAAGCCAACTTTTTCACTCTCCTCTTTCACTTTCATCAAGAGGCTCTTCAGTTCTTCACTTTCTGCCATAAGAGTGGTGTCATCTGCATATCTGAGGTTATTGATATTTCTCCCAGCAATCTTGATTTTAGCTTGTGCTTCCTCCAGCCCAGCATTTCTCATGGTGTCCTATGCATATAAGTTAAATAAGCAGGGTGACAATATAAAGCTTTGTCATACTCCTTTTCCTATTTGGAACCAGTCTGTTGTTCCACATCCAGTTCTGACTGTTGCTTCCTGACATGCATACAGATTTCTCAGGAGGCAGGTCAGGTGGTCTGGTATTCCCATCTCTTTCAAAATTTTCCACAGTTTATTGTGATCCACACAGTCAAAGGCTTTGGCATAGTCAATAAGTGTACTGCTTGCTGAATTTCTGTAAGTAAAAATATTATGAAACCTAGAGCCAGAAATAAAGCATAACAAGCATCTATCTCTAACATCCCTTCTAGTCACTCCAGTGGGGATCACTATTTTGACTTGTAACAATGTAATTTTGCCTGTCTTTTGGCTTTTCTATAAATGGAATTATAATTTGCAGTCTTTTGTGTGACTTCTTTTATTCAGTGTTGCGAATTACCCATTTTATTGCTTGTGGTAGTTTTTTCATTCTCTTGGCCATTTAATATTCTGCTTGTGTAATTTTATCACAGCTTATCATCCATTTTACTATTGATGGTTATTTAGGTTGTTTTCTAAGCTTTTTCTTTTTAATCTAAAAACTAAAAGTAGAAGTTTTTATTGAGTTCTTTAAATTACTACTCTATATTTTTCTTCTTACTAGAAAAGTTTTTAACCAACCATTCTTAACTTGACCAAAATTTTAAAAGGCAAAGATATTTTGTAAATGTGTCACAGACACGGGTGACAGAACCCTACTTTTTCTAAGAGGACCTTCATCTGAATAAAGTCATGAGTTTTTAAGTAAGCCTCTTCTGGTAATTGAACAGAAGCAAGCCCACCATGGTCCATGGAAGATGGGTTAGACAGACAGGTGTTCTTTCAGTTTTTCCATAATTTCATTCATTTTGTTGCCTGGAATTAACATCACAGTTCGCAGGGGCTTCATTGGTACATCATCAAAGGATCATCGGCCTCCCAGACACGTGTCACTCTCCTCCTGCACTGAGCAGTTGAATTTCTGGATTGCCTTCTCGTAGAAAAATTATTCTTCTGCATTTGCAAACACTAACTCATGTTTTTCTTTGGTTGCTCCATTTCTTTTTGGAATTGCTTTTTCCTGCTTCCACAAACATCTTGCTAATCAAAAGGTAGACATAACACTTCCCACATGGCTTGTTAGTTCTGTGTGCCTTTTTCTGAGCTATTAAAATGGATACTGTTATGAACATGCTTATACTTGTCCTTGGTCAGCATATATGTGCATTTGCGGGGTGGGGTCAGAGGGTACATGTTCCAGCTGCTATCAATACTTCTCCAAAGCACAGCATATACCAGCAGTGAGAGTGAGTCCTGGTCACCCTGTTCTCATGAGTACTTGATGTTGTCTGTCTTGTATTTCAGACATTCTGGTGGGTATGTAGTGGTTTTAATCCACTTTCCTAATGACTAAGTTGGGCCAGTTACTTATTTTCATAGGAAATTCTGGCTTGATTGAGTTTCCTAGCTCATGTAACTTATACAGTCTTTTTGTATCATTATTTATTTATAGGACTAGTCGGTGTGCAGTCTGTTATCATTTCTCCCTGTTGGTTTCCCTCAGTGCTATATGGGTTTTGTTGTGAACACCGAGTTGAGTTGCTCTGTGTTGTTACTGATTCTGATTTTCTTATTTCAGCGGCCCAGCCCGATCCAGCTTTACTCCCCTCCTTTTATATTGGCCCCAATCAAAGACAAGCAGACAGAGCTGGGAGAGACACTTGGTGAAGCGAGCCAGAAATACAACGTGCTCTTTGTGGGCTATTGTCTGTCTCATGACCAGCGCTGGCTTTTGGCTTCCTGTACTGACCTCCATGGAGAATTATTAGAAACTTGTATTGTAAATATTGCTTTACCAAACAGGTGAGGTGCCTTGGTGTTTGTGGTGCACGTGACCTGACACTATGCCTTTTCTCAGCTAATGGATCTTTCTAACTCTCCTACCCAAATGCAGTGGGTACCACGGGGGTGGGTTTGGAGTTTTCTTGGTTTTGTTGTACTCAGTAATAGCTTTGACTCATTTGGGGACCCTTTGCCATTTATTTGAGGTCACGGAGGAGTAAAGTATCTGCACGTAAAATTGGACTACAGAAGTTGTGGGAATGGTGTGTCGGTATTGTCCAGATGACATCTCTGCCCTGGAGAGTTGTGATCGGGCGACTCGGGCGTCTAGGCCACGGGGAACTCAAAGGTGAGAAATTCCTGAAGCAAAGGAAAGGAAGAGGGCTGAGCTAACGTCATTAACTAAGCTGAGGGAGAAAAGAGTAAAGTTGGTAGTAAGAGTAGATACAGCAGGTTATATTTTCTGCTTGTTTTAAATGTACAGGGTAAACTTGTAGTTTTTAGACTTTTTATTAGCAACAGAATCATTTACAAAGAAAATTTTAAATATTGAACCTAGTAGAAAAATAATTCTTTATATTAATCTGTAAAAGTGACACTTAGTTAATTAGAATTTCTAACCTTTGTATATTGAGTCAGTGAGAACAAGTCAGTTTTTTTTTTTTAAAACAAGTTCAACCCGGAAAATTTTATATCAGATTATGGATGATAGTAAACGTCATATTCAGCCTTTACTTGCATTTGCTTGTTTGTTTTTGGTGGTTGATGGTGAGGCGATTATATTGTTTTAGTGGCATGATAACAAGATAATCCTTGTTGACGAGGACAAGTAGTTGCAAATTATAAACACTGTTCCAAAACATTACCACTGTCTGATAGTCTACAGTCTGGAAATTTAAGAGAACAGATTTTTTTTTTTAAGTTGAATCCCCCAACTTATATTCCTTATAAGAAATACAACAAAGGACTAAAAGTAAGTAACAGTGTAACGCCACTGACCACTGGCAGCTGTCTTGCCTGACGTTGAGCCCAGCTCATTCTTTATCCTTGTGGAGCTACTTGTCCAGTTTTACATAAGCAATTTGAACAGGCCTAGATTTTTCTTTTTAAGCCTGTCAATGACATATTTATAGAAAATTCAGTATATGCATATAGATGTGAATTTTTTTCTAAGGTGTGTGCAAAGGCAAGCATGTGTCACAAATTAACCTGGTAGTTTTGCATGTTTCAAGTGTATATTAGGGCAGAGTTGGCAAACTTTCTTTGTAAAGGGCCAGATAGTAAATATTTTGGACTGTGCAGGCTAGCTGGTCACTGTTGAGCAACCCAGCTGTTCTATTGTACTGTCACATTAGCCACAGACAGTACTCCCTTGAGTGGGCATGGCTGTGTTCCCAAAAGACCTTGCTGACATCAGGTGGTGGGCACGACATGGCCTGCGGACCGAAGTTTGCAGACCCTTGTGTTGGAGTGTGCATGGTATTTCTTTACGTGAAATTTATATCAGGTGTTTGGGGAAACCCTGAAATAAAACCCCTGATATGGATATAACTTGTCTTGTAGGGGTTAATTATTAGGGTTTAACAGCAGTTTATACAAATATATAATATGTATTAAGTGTTTGCTTAGGAATCTTCTTATACACAGAATTTTTTTAATTAAATCATACTCTGGACCAATAGAAAAATATCATCCTTTTCATTTTTAAAAGAATATTATACTTATAATGAATCTCTATCAGTAGCCTGGAGGTCTGTTCATTAGGGGATTCATCATTTCATTTCTGTCAGAATTCCTATCTTCTCTCCTAGTATACCTTTTAGTCAATCTTATTTCTTAAAGGCTTTAAGCTACTCTTAACCCTTGGGAAAAGTTAGAATATAATAGCAAAGAAGTAGAGGGGATAAAAGTATAGCCTAGCAGTCTAGTCATTTGGTGTTTTGGAAAATTATTAGAGCTGTTGCCCTCCCTTGTATGATTTTTTAGAAGGGACACAAGTGTGACCAAGGGCTCCATCAAAAGACTGAGAGAAAACATACCTTCAAGGAATAAACACAGAAAACAGCCTAGTGACAGGACATGAGTTTCTTTCTTTGGGGAACCGAGCTCTGCACCACCTTGCATTTCTGTGGGGCAGTATCAGATACAGGTCCACAGATTTCAGTTTTGTGAATCTCCATTCTTAATCACCATAGTGTTTGTGATAAAAAATAATCATACTGGCTTTTCTTTCTTATTTGGTTTTTAAATACTGAATTCACATCTCTCGGGTTTTTCTGTGGTTTTTTAAACATATGCCCTCCTCCATGTTCCTTGACCCTGTTTATTTTAGCCACTTCGGTTCACTGTTCATTGGGAATGTGAAACGTGAAAGTTTTGGGGGGGTTTTAAACTGCTTTTTAAGGGAGAGCAGGCATGTGGCGGTGGAGAGGTGGAGTGTTGTTGCCTCTGGGATGTGACAGTGTGTGGCTGCAGTCATGTGATGGTGGTGGGCTTCCTGTGTGTCCAGGGTCTGAATAAAGGGAGGACTGAGTGCCCTTCAATTCCCAGAGTAACATTACCCTCCGCAGTTCTGTGAGGAGATATCCTGCCTTTGTTTGGAGGCAAGAAACAAATAGAAAATTTGTGCCACTTTTTTAATCTGAACAACTAATGTGGCATTATCTGGAGCACGTTACTTGCACCCATTGCTTCCCAGCTGTTTGAGGCATGCCAGGAAAGGGTCCCCTTGTTTCTTCCGCTGCTTGCCTTTGATGAACCAACCAACCTAACCTAAGCAGTAAAGAAAACTGAGGTTCACCCCCAACTCTGCTCTCTCCTGAAGAAAAGTATCTATGAGGGTGTGAAAGAACCAGGCCTGGAGGAGGAGAAAGGACAGAATAGACTGGCATCCCCAATAGAAAGTATATCCACTACCCTCCGTCTGCCTGGGTCTGTGTGGGCCCCCACGTTACCTCAGTCTCCATAATGGTAGGCCTTTGTTCCCTTGTTAATGAAGTGTAATCGAGGTCAAGTAACATTTTCTTTGTAGCAAGGAGGGGAACCTGTATAAAGACATACTCCCTTTAGGGCCCAATCCTGGAAATTCAATTATCAGGCAGAACTGATAAAACACTCAAAGCTCACATCAGTATGCATTTCGAAGACTGTGTGAGACTGTGTTATTTGATTCCAGATTGGAGTATCCTCCTCGGAGAATGTTCACTACAGACAATCAGTAAACGGCTCAAGGACGTGTGCCGGATGTGTGGAATCTCTGCCGCAGACTCGCCTTCTATCCTTAGTGCCTGCCTGGTTGCCATGGAGCCCCAGGGCTCCTTTGTAGTGATGCCAGGTAACTTTCTTGTCAGTTTTCTTAATTAGGTATCAGAGTACGTCAGTCCATTTATTCTGAAGTTCACACACAAATATAGACTGTATCTTTATAATCTTTATGAAAAACGATTGTACTCAAGGCTCAAAAGTGGAAACTGTTTGGTCCCTTCCAAGGGAGTGGTTTGTGACTTTATTATCTGTTAACCATCACTCGGGAGAGAGCCTGAGTCCTGAGTGTGATCGAGAGCTCTTAGAGTCATGGCGAATTATTTGCCTGAGCCCAATCTGTTGGGCAGGTTACATCATTTCTTTGTGGTCTTACCTCAAGATGTTGGCTTTGATGATTGAATGAGATGATATGAGTAAAGAATTTTTGGTTGACTCGGTCCAGTTTTATCTTAACTTGCCTAATGTGAAATCTGGCTTGGGTTATCATAGGTAAATGCTCTAGTCAGTTTCTTGAAATTATTTAAACAAATGCACTCAACTTTAAATGTGTATCCATCATGGCTCTTGTGTCAGACTCGTTATCAGTTCAGTTCAGGTCCTCTTAAAATGTATTTCTGGGGTTGTTCACTGCTACACAAAAGGAATTAATACCTTTTCCCCACCTTTTAAGATGCTGTCACAATGGGCTCTGTTTTTGGTCGAAGTACTGCACTGAACATGCAGTCATCTCAGCTTAACACCCCTCAAGATGCTTCGTGTACACACATCTTGGTGTTCCCAACGTCGTCAACCATCCAGGTGGCTCCAGCCAACTATCCCAATGAAGACGGGTTTAGCCCCAACAATGGTGAGTGGACCCAGCGCAGCTCGGCTCCTTCACCAAAATGCCGTGCTGCAGCGAGGGGTCACCGGGCTGCGGCAGGTTCTCCTGTGTTGTATGAACAGCTTATAGAACATGAGGGAACTAAAGGGCTTAGAATCTTTTTGGTTTTGAGGATTTCATTTATACTATTGCCGAGGCCATATAAACACTTTCCTCTCTTGGGTAATTAACTTTCTCCTGTTTTTCATTAAATGAAAGGCAAAAAGTATCTGTTTTGTTGTGTCCTGTACATGGGTGTCACTCTTTCAATAAATATTTCTTAGCTGGTTTGAATTGAGTGAAGACTACTGGGCAGTAGTAAGATAGCACCTGCCATTTGCTGATCATTTGAAATCTAATTTGCTCTGAAACAACTCCTTAGTTGATGATTCTTAATAGATATTCTTGGTTTGAATAGCATTTGTTAAGAAATGAGTATAAACTGTAAAATGCTCAATATTATGCAGCCATTTGCAGTTTTTTTTGGAGGAACTTTTTGCAGCATTTGCTCCCATGAAAATGGGGAGGGTAAAAGGATATCATCCTTCATGTGTGTACACAGATAAGAAGTGTAGTATGATCATGGTGTAACAATACAGAAACAGAAGCAGCAAAAATGGTCGTGGTGACTGGGTTTCCCCTATGTGTGTACCTTACTTACATGATACAGGAGAGGATTTCATAGGGAAAACAGTGTCTTTGCTGTTTTGCTGATCGGCTGGTGTAAGAGGCCTCCAGTTTCAGGCCAAGTTCACACCTATTAGCATGCATTAATTCAGCCCTAAGTGCTTTTAGTTGCTAATTGGATGCATAGATGGAGTCTGCTGTTTTCTTGGATGGCGTCAGTTTTAACTTTGTTTAATAATTAAATTGCTTCTTTAGCTGTTTTGCCATCTTTTTACGTGCCTTTGGAGGCTGGAGTTTTAAGTTCTTTATTTCTCCATTCTGTTAATACTTCACACTAGGAGATCACTGGAGAGAGGACACAATGAAAGGCTTATTTGCAGCACCTTGAACCCAATGGGCACACATTAAGTCTAAGTGGTTAACAATACATATCTAGAACACTCCTAAGCCAACAAACCATGTTTTGCTTTAAGTTGGGGCTGTGGATGAGCTTTTTAATTTTTGTGTTTTTCTCTCTCCCCTCTAGATGACATGTTTGTTGACCTTCCATTCCCAGATGATATGGACAATGATATTGGCATATTAATGACTGGGAATCTCCATTCCTCTCCCAACTCCTCCCCAGTCCCCTCCCCAGGCTCTCCTTCTGGAATTGGCGTGGGCTCTCATTTTCAGCACAGCCGGGTAAGCATGACTTGGGAAACTTGGCATGTTTAAACCCACCACAGCCTTGAGGGAAGGCCTCGAGAGTGCTGACCTCCTCCGTTACTACATCCACCTTTCCTCCCAGTGGTCCTGATACAAGTGAAGTCAGTGTGGCTCTGTTGTTCCATTTTGAACAAAGGCAGGAATTCTAAAGAAATGTATTACCATTCCTGATGACTGTGTTTAATCAGAAGAATAGTCCATTACAGTTGTAAGAGTTTTATGTAGTTGTCTTCTGAGCAAAAATTAATTTTGGTTGCTTGCCGTTTCCCAGTTAATTGTAATATTTTTGCCAAGACAGCAGCTTTTCAGAGACTAGTTCAATAATCCTGCTTATTCAACATGCAGAGTAACTGTGTTAACTGAAGACACACTGTTGATGGTTTCGGAAAGAGGACTCCCTTGTCTTGGTCTGTCTTTTGCCACCTTTTTTAGGCAGTCGACCTCCTCTGTAGCCAGCCTGCAGGAATGGGAAGAGCCCACAGGAGGCTGATTTTGGAGACATGTCCACGTTAATGCCAGAATATTAAGGGACAAAACAGAGCTTACAACTAGTTTCATCTAAATATTCTATGGATATTAGAGGTGAACTAGCGGAAGACTGAAGCATTAAAGGTTCTGCCATAAAGCTAGGTGATACATACCTTATCCTGGTATAACACTTAAAATACTAAGAGATTGATGGGTTAGACACAGAAAAGTAGCTGTCTAGTATCTTAAACTGGACAAGTAAAAGCAACCTGTTGACCCTCATTTAGACATAAAGATGTTCTTGGAGGACTTAGGTTTCTGGCGGGTGGGACTTTTATTGCCAGCCCTGAGTTTGCTGAAGGACCATCAAGAGAAAAGAAGATGGAAGACTTTAGTTACAGAGCAGATGAGACCAAGGAACAGCAACTCAGTAGTCTGCCTTCATGTAACTGCCTGCCCCCCTAATTTTCCCTTCTGGAGGAAGAGATTGTAAGTGTCTTGACTTCCTCCTCAAGCATTTGCCAGTTAATACAATTTATTGGTTCACTGGAGACTGTTGTGACGGGGACCAAGAACACAACTTCTAAATTGAGTGGTTTTAATTTAGGATTACTGTGAATTCTAGAGGCAAATAGCACTGCAGCTAGCAATGTGCGCCCTGGAGCTTGATAAACATAGCTCTGAGTTACAGCTCGCTAGCTTTTTGTTACCTTGGACAAATTTACTTTTTTCAGCCTTAGTTACCTTATCTGTGAAATGGAAATACGAGCAACTACCTTGCAGTACTGGTTGTTATAATTCTGCCTTTCCATTAACAAAGAATTGGTAATTGATGTCGGTTTGTGAGAAGCAGAGGTGTGCTGGCTCTCTCCCTTGGTTGGTGCCTCAAGCTATTGAATGTCACACTTCAAACAGTTCTGTGCTGAGGCTGGTCAGGTGGCCTTTTCCACTCCCGAACACCTGCAGCCAGGTGACTCTGACAGGCTTTCAGCATTTTCTCCTTCTGCACCATTAAACATTCTTTGATATTCAGTTAAGACATTACAACAGGAGAAAGCATTCAAAGTTGCAGTTAGTTTTTCTTAAGCAACTCAGAATTGCTACAACTTGGTGCAGTAGTTCAGGGTTGTTTGTTTCTTCAAAACAGAAGTCTTTGAGAACAAATGGATTACTTATTATTGCTTGCATAAAAGGCTCACTTTCAACTCTCGAAGCTAGCTAAAAGAGGCAAAGATGAGGAAAATGTCAATTGCAAAAAAAAAAAAATGCCCAATAAGGCTCTCACAAAAATCTCTTATTCCTGGGATTGCTGTAAATTGAAACAAGACTTCCTCAGGAGCAGACCGCCGGCTGCTGGCAGGTCAGAGACCCATGAAGTGTTACGACCTTGTTGACAGTGGACAGTCAGGTGCACGCGTGTGTTTCTGGGTGGTCGCAGGGGGAAAGAGCACCTTCAGCTGTCAGAGTCCACTCCTTCCATTTTTGGTTTGTAAAATCTGCTCCGTGGCATTATTAGATAACATTCTGCAGAGAAAATAAGCCTGTATTTCCTTGGCCGATGTTAGCGATATATCTCCCATCAGATATCTGTGTGTGGCGAAGACAGTGCCTCCCCTGCTGCCCTTTCTTGGCCCGTTGATCGGTGTGTGAGGTGCTGCCAGGAAGGGGATTAGTCACTACAGTGTGCACGGTGAACTGATAAAAAGTTTGGTGACGGTGTCAGAGGGGACAAACTTCTGGTTATAAAAGAAGCGTCCGCAGATGTAATAATGCATAAACAGCATATTGTATGTTTGATAGTTGCTATGAGTAGATTTTTTTTTAAAGTTCTCATCAAATGAAAAAACATTCCGCTTCGTACATAGTGGATGTTCACTAGCCTTATTGTGAATATTTCCCACAATTAGAACCATTATGTTGTACACCTGAAACTAGTATTACATGTCAATTATATAGATTTCTTTTGAAAAAATGATTTTACAGAAAGCTTTCTTTGGTGATAAATGCTGATCATGCTTTGGGACTTTGTCTTTCAGAGCCAGGGTGAGCGTCTTCTTTCTAGGGAAGCGCCCGAGGAGCTGAAACAGCAGCCTCTGGCCCTTGGGTATTTCGTGTCAACCGCCAAAGCCGAGAATCTCCCCCAGTGGTTTTGGTCATCATGTCCCCAGGCTCAGAACCAGTGTCCCCTCTTCCTAAAGGTTGGTTTGGTGTCATGTTTGAAGTTTTGGGGGGGATGAATGACTTAACGCTCAAAATTTGGTGAGAATTTGTCGTATTTGTTCCCTGATTCTCTCATGTCTACTTGAAGTCTGAGGATGTTTTTCTTACAGCTGGATGCAGAGAGTAGAATTTAGGAGAGGAACTTAGAGTAGGACAGGAGAGTAAGCTAAAAACCTTATGTTTATGCATGCCCCTTCCTGTATATTTCTTGGAAATTTTTACTCCAAATTAAAGTTAAAAGCAAAAGATCTCTCACTTCAGTTTGGGTGAAAGAACCTAGAAGAAATCTATAGATGGGCAAAAATGCAGGTGTTGAACATCATACTCTATTGGCAGGACTGTGGCATTCCGCTTCTGATGCAGAAGTCCCACCACAGAGGGATCCATGTGATACACACACATACACCTGGATGGTTAAAAACAATTTTCTTCTCCTGATGACTTTAACACAGTATTATGAAATCAAAGAATTTATGTTAAAAATCCATAATCTTTACCTTCAGTTAATCTTTTCCTCTCTAAAAAAATACTCATTTTTAAGCTCTGCTTATTGAAAAGACTTAGAGATAATAGCTTAGTAGCAATAAACACCTTTCTTGACACATGTATGATTTCTCAATACCACTTATCATTCAAAAGAAGGAGAGTTCTTTGAGGAATGACTGATTCCAGGACTAAAGTAAGAAATTCATGATGTCCTGAGACATCTTGTCATGCCTAAAAGCATCGAAGTTACCAAAGATTATTAAGAGTCTTTTCAAAGAACCCTATAGCCAACTTGAAGGGGTTCCCATTGCCCAGGGATTTTGGTCATCAGAATGAACAGTGATGGCAACAGATTGCTAAAAGTCTATGGGTTCATAGTTGTGCTGGAAAACAAAACATTTAAAATAAGTCACCTTTTGAAGGAGAATTAAGCATTTATGTTGCCTCTGCCTTAAATATTATTATTTCAAAATTAATAAAGTAAAACTATGCTAAAACCCTAGCTAAAGATTGATGGGGAACTTCATAGTAGATAGAATATGCTGGTACCTACTGAACCCAGGGCTCTGTCATACTGCTTCAGGTGGGATAGCACGGGCCTTTGGCCATGACTCTGGAAGGGCAGCACACCAGTGACGGAGCATGGAGGTCAGGAGTGAGGACCACAGTGACACCCTCAGCCACCCAGAGAGTGGGCCTTCTGCAGATTAAAACCTGTAGGGGGACACTATTTAATTATTTGTAGGGCATTTGCAAAGCTAGCTTTTTCCCACTCTATTCTAGGATATAGTTATTTGGAATCACCTTGGGGTTACTGAGCAGCTTGAATTCAGGGACTTATAGAAACCCTGACTCCTAAGGACTTTAGACAGTATCTGCTGCTGGCAGACGTAGGCTTCCTTCCCAAGTTGACTAGGCCTGAACGGTAACATTCTCTTGTTCTTTTACCAGGCTTCGCTGCATCACCACATTTCTGTAGCACAGACGGACGAACTTCTCCCCGCCAGGAATTCTCAGCGGGTTCCGCATCCTCTTGACTCCAAAACCACGTCTGATGTTTTAAGGTAGATTCAGACCTAGGCGACATAGCAGTACAGTTTGAAATTATATGTTTTAATGAAAAACACCTTGGAAAAACAAGAGTAAAATGTGGTGTTTGTGGAAGAGATGTTACCGTTAGTGCAGTGGAGCGCTCTTGGATTAGCCAGTGAGAAACCACATCCGTCCAACACGTGCCTCGGACAGGCAGTGCCGCAGACGCCGTCACACCGGCAGCTGCGAGCACCACTGCTGTCAGTTCCTGTTCCCAGGACGCAGTCATGGTGATGACAGTAGATCAGGACTAGGTGTGGACAGGTAGAAAACCACGTCTGGAGCTTAAAGCACTTGACGTTGAACACATTTTCTACCCTCCCTGACATAGATTATATAAATAAAGTAAAACAAATTCCATGGTTGGGATTCTCTTGCACTTTAGCAAGCTATAAACATGCTTCATATACCTTGAGAAGATATGCATGCTTTTTCTAATGTTTTCTAATTCTTAAATGATTTGAAAATTATAATTAAAACAATAACCTAATCTGCATGATTTTGGCTTCCAGAGCCTCTAGAGCAACACTGTCCAATAGAAGTATAATGTGAGTCACATAATTACCATCTTAATGTGGCTACTAGAAAAATTTTGAAATTAATTTTAGTAACATATAAAAATATGATAGTGTTATCATTTAAATAGTATCATTTGAATGGTAATCAATGTAAAAATAGTCATGAGCTATTTTCTGTGCTTTTTAAAATATTCAGTCCCTGAAATCCCTGTGCCTGTTCTCTGCATATAGCATATCTGAGTTGATGGGGGGCAGTGGCTGCCACATTGGACAGTGCAGGTCTAGAAGGAAGGGAAGACGGGACAGGAGCTCCAGGCAAGGGCCTGGGACCACTTACAGAATGAGGTCAGGCCTTCTTCCTGCTGACGTCTGGCTCATCAGATCTTTTGGACCAGCCTCTCTTCTGTTGTGCTGGGCGCCCTAACCTGTGTGTTCTCTCTGGCAGGTTTGTTTTGGAGCAGTACAACGCTCTGTCGTGGCTCACGTGCAATCCGGCCACCCAGGACCGTACCTCCTGCCTTCCCGTCCACTTTGTGGTGCTCACTCAGTTGTACAATGCCATCATGAATATACTCTAATTGGAAAAGCACTTGTTCTCTCTGGCTCAGTTCCTTCTCCCTGCAACCTCAGTCCAAGGAACCTACGACACTCTGCAAATACCCCACTTCCTCCTCTGGAGACCACTCTTCACAGTCCTGCACTGTGATTCCTTCTCAGCAGGCACATGTCATTTCTGCGGTGTTCAGTACCAGAGTGACTCACTGACACTTCTCTCATGGACCTGGAAACTTCCACAAGCAGTGACTTTCAGCCAGTGTTACAGTGTGTGCGGCCCCAAACCACTGGGCCACAGGAAGTTAATTTCTGTTGGTTTTTAAGAGGGAAATAGAAGAGACGGTGTCCTTTTGCACAAGAGTCTGTGTTTTCAGTCTCTGTTTAACATGGGCAGTGTAGCCCTCTGATGAAACCCTCCAGTTCCTGGTGTATGGCCTGTGGGTTACCTGAACTCCATAATCTGGGACTTTTGAAAAATAAGAACCAGCTCAAGTACATGATTTCATCATAGGGTTTCTATCTCCCTAGTGCTCCCATCTAGACTGGCGTGAGTGCTTTGGTTGACTTTATACCTGTGTGTAGATACAAGAGGTCTGGAGACATCTTCATTTTGTTTATTTATTTTAGGTTGTTCTGTCATGTGACTTTTTTTTTTTTTTTTTAATTCGTGAGGACCAGGTACAGTAGCTAAAACCCAACTCAGATCCACCATAGGATTCTTTGACTACATACCTCTGTCCTAGAAGCCGGAAAAGGAGTGAATAGAAATTGGGAAGGATCATGCCTACAAAGTAATAATATATTCAAAACCACCCAGCAGTAGGTTTTGTTGAGAACAAACTGGGTAAACATTCTGCCATGTTCCTTATTAAAAGTGGCCAGCATTTCATGAAGGACATTTTTATATAGAAGGCAGCCAAGCTCCACCCAGAGCCATGGAGGCAAGTACCTTCATTAGTTTTATATAGTCACAGTGGAAATATATTTTCTAGTGAATTCTTACTGAAAGCCAGGTCTCTCCTCTCATTAGATCAAAAGGGACTCATGTACATATCACAATCAAAAGTGTTTGTTCATAACATCAGTTATAAATATGGTGAATTTTTTCTGGACCATAGGAATATTATTTCAAAGAAATATTACAACTTAACCATTAAATTAGTACTTGAAGTTGAGCCTTTGTGGTGGAACTTTTTAAAAAAAAAAAAAAACAAAACCATGCCTTTTTAAAACATTAAGGCTAACTTAAGTATTTTACAACTCCTCATTCCAGGCCCTGAGCGGGTTGTCTTGAAGACTCCGCCCCTACCCTTACCTTGCTGTGCGTCTCTGTCTGAGGGCAGTGGGTGTGGGCTTCCTCCCGTGAGCAACTCTGGTCAGGCTGCAGAGTTCTAGTCATCTGTAGAGAGAATCATGCAGATTTTAAAAGTTCTTCCAAGAAACTTCCATATTCTGGTTATTAACAAAAAAAGAAAAAAATGTAATAACTGATGATTTTGTAAAAGTATTTTTCTTGAAATAATCTAACGTTTAAAACATTTAAAAAAATTGTGTGGTGGGAATGTGAAAGCAGAGAAATCACTTGTAAATGGATAATTTTGTTCTCTGTACCACCAAATGAGGGGGAGGGGTTGACTTTCGCAATGTATAGGTTAAAAAAATCTGATATATCAAACCATTTGTATCTAATGTGTACAGTGTAAAATTGACTTTAAAAATATTGCAGTGCTATTTTTTCTTAATCAGAAAGGAAAAATTCTCAAGGCCTTTTGAAGAGCATAAGATGATGAAGATTGTAAACTTGTATAAAATTATCTTGGTGAGAAGACAAATTGTAAAGTAGATATTTGTAATCTTTTACCACTTTGGGGTTGCTTTTTTTCCCAGAATTCATCAGAACTTTGAATTTTTTTTTTTTTAAATGGGCAGTTTTTAATGCAGGGGCTTTTCTTCCCTAGAAACCCAATTCTCAGCAAAAAAAGAAAAAAAAAAACACAAAAAACTAAAAAACCCCTACAAAAACTTTAAAAAAAAAAAGGCAGCAAAGGGTAGTTTTCATCTGGTGTCTTTTATTTAAGTTTTTTAAGTTAAGAAAAAGCTGGTGACATATTTATACGTTTTTGTGCAAAAATAAATGAATGGCAATAGATTTTAAAAAAATCTTATTATGTACTTCTGTGTGAAAAAGTCTGTATAATATTTCCCTTAAATATGCATTATTTTACTTGTGAGTTTTTTACTGAATTAATCTGAAATGTACAAGCCCTGGATTTGCTACAGAGTGAGAACTTATTTTATTTTTTTTTTATTTTTAATTTTGGAAATTCTGCAGAAATCAGAACTCTTACCTTGGTTTGAACTAAAGAGGGGACATGGGGAGGGGAGAGGGGTGGGTTTGTCCAGCATGCTTGTATGTATATTTCAGAACCTTTTTTAAATGTAAAAGCTGTACATTTCTGGGAAGTTCTGAATTTCTTTTGTTTCCTTTTTTCCTTCAAGCATTTTGCAGTGAGCTTCTTTTATATATAGCAAACAATTTGAAAGAATACAAAAATATGTGAAGTTCATTTAAAAAAACTACAGTATAGCGCTGGTACAGTACACTAAAAGACTTTGATAAAAAGAAACAATACTAAAAAGCCTCCATTTTAAATGTCATTCATATATACCTTGTGAATGAGAGCTATATACTTTTACACACTTTTTTAGAGGAATAAATTATTGAATTACTGAAACATTGAGTGGCTTTTTTTCCCCCTTCCATCCTGCTTTTGTAATAAAAATGACTACGCCTATTCAAAAGGTGTTATGTATTATGGATTGAACAGTCCTTGACCAGGAGCCAGGCTCTACATTTCAGAGTAAAATTTTACTCCCCTGATCACTCCATCTAATAGCTGTTACAGTTTTCACATGCTCCAAGATACAAGTGCATTCATGGATCAAGTTTTAGAATGAACACACATATACAGCATTGGACTTGGAGCTCTGGTGTTTAGTTCCTTAACTGTTTTGAGTAGATCGCATCTAACAGTGATCTACTGTCTTCCAGCTCTTAAGACTGCAGTCAGTCTTAGAATACAAGTCTGTTTTCTGCTCCTCTCTCTTCATGAGCTCAGCCAGTTTCCTTCTGTTGTTCATTAGAAACAACAGTTCCAACTCTACTGTTTTCCCAACTCACACACAGGCTGATGACAGTTGTGTGCCATCCAACACACATATGAACAAGACACTCATTGACTGCATGGCCCCACTACCTTGTGCTCTTCTCCTCGGATCCTTTCCATAGGATAAACCACCATGGGGCAGAAGCTCTCACTAAAATAGTTAACACCAGGACTTCGCAGAGCATACTGTCAAAATCTGAGTAAGCTGAAAGACCTTGCCTTTTTAATCTTCCTCCAGCTCATCGGCAATATACATTGTTCTAACTCTGAACCTAGAGATAAAACTGTTGACACTATTAAGCCTGAGTTATTTCCTCTGCATTTGGGTGACGGCAATTCCATGCCAGCTGAAAAGCTGTGTCCATGTTACTATAGTTGTACTATTGAAGAAGGCTGAGAAAAGTGAGACCACTTCGGTTAACAGATAATGTTGATCTCTGTCTTGTCCAGTTACCACCGTTTTATACCTAGTTCCCCTGGCCAAAAAGTAAAGAACTGCACACTTCCTAGATCCTGTGAATTCGGGTCAGTCCAACTGTTCCTGTATCCGTGTAAAAATCAGAACTAGGTGGTATTTTTCCAACCAATTCATTTTCTTGGGTTCTGTGCTCATACATCCGATGGCACTTAATCCAACAACCAATGAATGTTGGCTTTATTTATACTAGGAACTTTGTTTTCATAACATTATTAGCCATACCAACATCAACAGTAGCGAAATCTCTGAGACAAAAAACTTACCAAATTCATTTAAACATTTTGCAGATTCCATGTAGTTAAGTCTGACCTGCCACTCAAGCCACTGGCCTTCAGGCATTTGCTCTGCTCAGATTCTGCTTAAACCAGTTCATTCGCCCCAAACGATGCCATCCAATAGTTTTATGTCCTGGCCCCTGTCTTGGGGCCAGGAATTTGTTCCCAACCGGTATCAAAGAGCTCATGAAAAATCTTTATAAAAAGTGCAGTTTGTCAATAGTTCTTAAAGACAGATTTGTCATAAGACTTAGTGTCTGAGTGTGAGACACATACTGGAAACAGACTTTGTTCCTTGTCATCTACACACCAGCCATTCTATAAAAATTTCTTTCCCTTTTGAATTTACCACTTGCTACAGTCCTAACAAGATGCAATTTCCATGTATTACATTATCTTGGTGTTAAATGATTGGTTTGTTTATATCCCCTTGACAAAAATGTCACTCTACCAGGAATTAGTTCATGTCATTAATACCTAATGAGACACCATTAGAAAATTCTGTTACGCTGGGTTGCAACAGTTGTCCTGGGCATCTTCCTCTGCTTGGAACCAGATTTACCAAGTCCCACCATTTCGCTTGAAATTCTCAGGTCAATTTTAAAAGTTTTTTTTTTTTGGCACTTAACTGCTTCTAGTTAGAACAAAGTAATGAAGCAGGTAAGAAAGAAAAGTTGAGGAAGAAAGCTTGGACAAGACTGAAATATTGATTTTTCTCTGTAAAGGTTACTTTCCTCAGTGAACATTAGTTACCAGGGAAGACACAGATGCAGACACTGGGTCAGTCTCACTTTTTTCTCTTTAAGGCAAGCAGGGAGGTGTGGAAAGGATGTTTTAGTAATCTAGAAACAGCGTTTGTGCAGGCTGCAGCTTGGTGCTCTGTTCTGATTGGAGTCTAAGCAGGTGTGTCGCAGTGTGTTTAAAATCACCCACACCTCAGAACAGGCAGACACATTGAAATTAACAGCCCTTTCAGCATCTCTCTGGCCAGTGCTCCCTATTTTATGCCTTTGTCTCCTTGCTTGCAAATTAAGCAGGTTTCAATTTACCTGTTTCATAAAACCACATGATATTCAGGAAACCTGGCCCTGTCAGAGCTAAGG